TTTGATTTCTTCCTTTCTTGATTTGAAGTCTCTTGTAAGTATTGGGCATAGTGCTGTATCTCTGTGTTCATTGTTCAGTAGGCTATGCTAGCAATAGAAACCGGGTCTGCTCCTTTGACTTCTTCTCCTTATTTCTTGTCATTCGTTACTTTACCATTATGTTATATGCCGTGTCCACTACAGCGCAAATGAAGACTTCCTTTCATATCCTAGGTCCATGACGGTATAGCTTACCTCGTTGTGCAAGTCTGGTAAGGAGCTTTCTTCTGCTGATAGTCGTATACGCATACACTACAGCGTGTACTGAATCCCCGATGTATCTTAGGAAGTTTTCATCTTAGATTTACAAAAAAATGAATATGTCTCAGAGAGTATAGTTCTATACATTTCTACTTTTAACATTACAAGTACCTTTCTACTTGTGGCATGACAGGATATGTAATGCAGTTGTGTCCTCATGATTTCAATAACAAACTTGTTTTTTGTAGTGCAGAGCGCATGTTTCTTTTCTTTTTCTCAGCTCAAATTGTTCTGTTGCGCCGGGACCTGCCCATCCTTCTGATAGTATTTTTTTGTGGGAGTGCTGTGCTCCTTTTCATGATAGCGTATTCGATCTGTTGTCTCTGGCGTGCGATGGCACGTTGCTGATGCTTGTATTTGATTTTCAGCGGCTGTTTACTAGGAATTTGTATTTTACAATGCTCAACTTGTGACTTTGAGTTTGAAGTCTTTTGTTGAGGACAGAGCCGTTGTGCGAATACTTGACGCGTGTTTGTGTGTGTGTGTGGGGAGGGGGGATTCACTGGCCAAAAAAGCCACTTAGTCATAGCTGTGTGGTGTAGACCAGGCTGGATAGTGGCGGTCAATTCTTCAGCCTTGCAAGCTGTTGAATGGTGCAATCCCAGCACAAGTTGCTATAGCTTCTGCTGTAGTATCGCTATCATCGCCTCTGGCGATGGGCGTCAAATGGTCAAATGGTGTGTGTGTGTGTGTGTGTGTGTGTGTGTGTGCATATGTGTGTAGATATGTGTGTGTGCACATGTGTGTGCATGGGGGGGGGGGGGGGGGGCACGGGTGTGCGTTTGAGCATGTAAAGACCATGCTGGTATTACACTGACACGATTCCACCAGAATACCACATCTTTTCAGGGCTTTATGTACAATCTTCGCATTCTATACGTAACACAATTACAAGAGCATGCGCCTCCTACATGTACATGTATGTGTGAGACCGATTGACCCGCAAAGATTGCAACATTTGTACCGGCAGTATTATCATTATACAAAATTAAATCGTCATAGAAACAAAATTAATCATCTCCGAACTTGCTTTTTTCACAAAACGAAATATTTCCGTTATGGGGCCAGCCTGGGCCATGGGGCATGGGCCGGAGCCGGCCATACTAGCTGCTAGCACTGGGATAGGGTTGACCAATTAATTATTTCCCTGCCCGGCCGACGGTTACAGAACTTGAACATTGATGCATGTGCTTCATGGAAGTAGGATCTAGGAGCAATACAAATGCAAACCCAGAAAACCAGAAAAGGAAAAAATATGCAACCCAAAAGAAAAACAAGGGTGTGATGTTAAAACTCCAAGGTATAAATGTCACTGATTCCTAAGCGGTCAGATGCATAGCATACTTGACTACTCCCTTATGTACATGTAAGATGAAAGGGAGACATGTTGCTAATAGTCCAGGGGCGTCTGAAACGGTACGGTCACTACAGTATTGACCGTACCACTTTTTGCCCCAGGTACCCCGTGAATCAATGAAATACACTGATCTGGGTTCTAAATTTCCAAAATGTTCAGCTCAGGCAGCCCAAGCCTCCCCCACGAGTAAATTGTACTTCAGATGGCTGACTGTATCCACACTAAAATACCTTCCGACGCCCCTGACTACGGTTGTGCCGAGAAAAATGTGTGCGCCGTGAGCTACTTCCACTCGGTCTACTGTGTATTCATATCGGTGTTGTACAATGGACTGCTGAGGTAAAGGCGTAAACGCGGCCTCAAAGATAATCAGATAAGAAGTATGAAGAGTAGAATAGCAGATGCAGCCATGTCACGGTATGTGAAATGATTACTGGTATAATGCCGTCGACACCCAGTTTAATGATCCAACATATTCATAACATTGTATGGTGGAGAGAGAGAGCCTCGGAGAGAAAGAGAGAGAGACAGAGAGACAGAGAGAGACAGAACCACAGACAATGAAGCACAGACAATGAAACACAGACAATGAAGCACAGGTTCGACTCGCTTGCGGCTACCGAGCTGCACATGTACGATTTAACAGCAAGCACCTACATTCACACGTTTGTTTCCTCAAGTCAGTCATGTGCAGACAAACACCAAATGTTCCTGCCACACAGGGGTTAGTTGACCAGGACCCAAGCAAGAAAAGGAAATCTCTGTTCAAAGTGAAGGAACCAATGATGACTCGGGCCGCTATCAGCTAAAACGAATGCCAAGACAGCTTGGATTTCAGCTGTACCGGGCCAATCTGGGAAAGTAACAATTGTTCCTTGGTCCAATCACTGGTTCGTTCGACATCGCTGTGCATAGTGTGACCACGACCGCAGTCTGTGGAGACAGGAGGATACAGGGGTGCAACATCAAACAGTCAGCACATGTCATCATGGTTACATGTCCACTTCGCATAGCATTCAGCTTCCAGTTGGCTGATGAGGTCCTTGTCCGCTCAGAGCAGAAGGCAACTTTGACGGTGTGCGCCGTGTTGTGCTTTTCCTTCACTGCATCCACTTCAGGTAGGTTCTGTTAGACCTTCAAAGTCAACATTGATGCATTTATGTGCAGTACCAGACTTGCCAGAACGGCATCTAAAGGAGAACAGAGGACAGAGACACAGAAGGGCAGAGGAAAGATTGAGCACATTTAACTCACGGTGCTGCACTCACGTCCCCATAGCAACGGTAGTAAAAGAAGTGCAGTGATTACAGCAGAAGTAGCCCGAACGCGCACCAACTGGTAGAGAAATATTTTTAAAATATAATCAAATGTTTTTTTTTACTATAGCTCTGATGTCCCTCAAGCTGTGCTAGCTCCTCAGCAGCCACTTCGTAACTTAGCATTGATAAACCCTACACCGACACAGACACAAATGGTTTCTTCGCTGCAAACCCGTCAAAATGTCAACCAATTTTCGTCCAGGAGCCACCATCAGCTGAGGTACGTGAACAAAACGAGGTGTGTGAAGGGTGTTTCCATGTATACAACAGCCGGGTATATGGTACATGTACAGTCAAACCTCGTTAGGACGAACTTCAAGGGACTGAACAAATTTGTTTGTCTTATCGGGAGTTCTTCTTATCCAGATCTGACAAAACATCGATATGCATATCAGATGGATTGTATTTACGTGAAGGTGCATGCTGTGGTACATGGGAAGCATGTTATTCTTAGCATAAGCCAGAAACAGGTACATGTAAGTACAATGACAAAGACAATGAATCACGACTGTGTCGAAAGTTCGTACAGCGCAGTGATTATTTTGTTCAAAACACGCTTGAAAACAATTTGCACTGTACGTACAATATGACCTCGACGGAAAAGAAGAAGAAAAAAGGCAGCCAGCGCACGCGCACGCTCGTGGACCGAAAGTTCGTACTACATGTACATGACCACACTGACTTTGTTCAAATCACACTTGAAAATAGTTCGTCTTCGCGAAAGTTCGCTGTACAGAAGTTCGTCGTAAACGAATAATTTTGACTTGAATTGATGCCTGGCCAACCATAGGATTGGCCTTAGTTCGTACTAATGGAAAGTTCGCCTTATCAGTGTTCGTCCTAACGAGGTTTGACTGTACATCCAAAAACAACACAATTCAAAATCCTGTGTTACTGAAACACCCTCAACAAAAGGGTTCCTATCTGCATTGAGAAGAGAGCGTGAGCAAAAGATCCAGACTACCAGTAGGCTTACCAATGCATAGACTGATTGGGAGCCAGAAGATCTCTGAAGACCTTGATGTGACTAGGATAATTGATCATCAGATCGTTGACGACCTTGCCGCTATTCTGTGTACGTTCAGCTCCATGCTCGAGTATTACCTGCGTACACAGACAATCATTATATGAATAGCATGAATACATGAAGCGTCTATGATTACACAAAAGGCGACAAGCTCCAAATTTGAGGAACTGAGACTTTTGAGCTCATTGTAATCTATATGTCTAGAGGCACCTTCACAGAAACTTTCACATTCAAAATCTTAATCATTGAAAACAGATAGAAATGATACTTCGACAATCGACATGCTGCAGATTGTGAATAGCAACTGAATAAGTTAGAGCGGTTGTCAGTTGACAAACCCCCTCAGTTTCTTATGATGCAGTTGCGTGACGTCCACCACTTTCTTAGTGAGCTTCACAACATGTTGGTGATAACTGTCAACTGTTATGTGTAACATCTCAATAGGGCTTGAAAGTGATGATGTCACAAGTCAACAAATAACGATAAATAACAACTTCTGGATCAAATTTGACCCACTCTGCCCATAGTGAAAGTAGTGTGATGGGGAGGCGTTTGTGTCGCATGCAGGTGAGATCTTTCTGTACAAGGAGTGGGTCCACTATCGAGACAGTCCAGGTTTGCTACTACCGGCGGATGCGTCACCTTGGGAGAGCCAGCCAAACCTGTCTGAATCCATACAAAAACTGGGTCCAAGTGGTTCCAAACGTCAGCGTTGTCATGGCTCAGGGCTGGCTGTGACGTAGCACTTTCAAGACAAACTGTGAGAAGTACAGTGGATATCGGTTATAAAGTCATCGGACATAGTGATAAACCGGCTATATTGATACAAAATGAAAATATCAAAAGCAAAACCAGAAAAAGCCAGTCAAATTATCATTATAACCAATATATCGTATATAGCGATAAATCGGCTATAAGGATACAGAATCACCATTCAAAACACCTCTTTGTGCAGAAAAATTATCGTCTATAGTGATAGGAACACACGAGTGTGAGGCATTGATGTCTCGACTTGGAGCCACATGTGTGTTGTCATAGGGTATTCTGGTCTGGTGCTTCCTGGATGATGCCTTTGGGCCAAGAAGTTCTTCACTCTAGACTGGAGAAGGTGCAGTAGCATCCATCACGTATCAGTACGCTACATTAGCGCGATCGAGCACCCACACGTGTATAATGTGTATGTATGACGCGCGCAGTTGAACATCGCCTGTAGTGATATACCGGTTATAGTGATAAAATGTGAAAAATCAGAAGGGCACGTTATAACCAATATCTACTGTATGTGAGAAGTATGTGAGAAGTAAATGAGTTCAGTGTCCCTCAGACCTACATGTACTTGAGCCTGTGTGTATATACACCACCGCATGCTCTTCACGATGTGCTTTCTGGGGTAGAGAATGAAAAGGGACTGAAGGTAGCGAATGTACATATGATTGAGAGCAACTTCCAAAGCAACCTCGATCACCCAGTCCGTCATACGGTAGCGTAAAAGCTCTGCCGTAAGCACTCTTCAAGCAGTGGATCATCCTGCTTGATAACGTATACCTTCAACAAATTCAGTCCAGTTTCATCCCAACTTACAGACAGGACACTGATCATGACGAGTATGCAGCGGTAAGTAAAAACAAACGGTCACGTCACCGTGGAATGCCTCCTGATCTACATGTACTTCGAAGTACATTATAGTCACTACCAACAACACACAACACAATATTATTTTCTACTCACTGGGATGATGAAGCATCCTTGCGACTTCAAAGCTGAAGCGAGAAGTGTGCAATATCCATTGGGTGACATAGCTGGATGATGCAGGAGTCGTGTATCTCTAACACCCAGGCAGGCCACAACACTGAAACCATGACGTGCAGCTGCAGTCATATCTACTGATAGACCATTGAAAACATCGCCCGGATACTTGGAAGTCTCCACTGGCTTACTATCTCGGTTGACAATGCACAATGCGTGAACGGCCACACCATCAACCAGAGAGACGCCAGTGGTGTGTTCTGGACCAATGAAGCATGACAGCATATCATACATTCGACCCGTGTTTGGACTCAAACCTTTTTTTCTGAACCACTCTGAGCACTGGTTCATGATTTCTCGCCGTTGCTTGTTAGTAACTAGTAGTGTGTCGAGCAAAACAAGCCGCTGAAGATGATGGGCACCGCACTCTAACAAGAAACAGCACACAAATATGCAAACAGAAAGACTGATTGACAAAGACAGAAAGGAAGGGGCAATGATGCTGCGGACAGATGATGAAGGGTCCTACCAACATACCGGCTATCGCATACTTCAAAATAGTAAATGAGGTGACTCAATTCCAGGGTTGGTAGGACATCCTTTAAAACATCGTGAACGAATGTATGGTGGTGAAAACGGTTATAACATTCACCGGGAAATATGCTGTGTGGACTATAAATTTCAAGGCTTGACTAACTCTAGTTGATTGTTCCCCTTTCCGGGGTTAAGCCAGAAACACATGACAGGGTTTAGGTCATATCAACTGCTCCTTTTGGTGGACTTTCTCGTTACTAGTCGATTCAAGAGCGCTTTTTTTGTAAACGAAAAGCACCTAGAATCCACAACTGTAGCGATTTTTCCCTGCAATACCTCAAGGCGCAGCAGGAACAGCGGCCAATGTGACATATGAGCTCCATGTTCCCCTCCATTTTCCATTATTCAAGTTCTATCTCAACGTTGACTTGCTAATTGTTTTCTTCTTCATTTCATTGGTCAATAGCCTCTTTTTATACTCTGCACCTGGTCTTACAATCTACTGGCACATACAGCAGACAATTTCCCTTTTCTACCACAGCTGCATTCCACATTTGCTTCTCCGCTTCTTTTTATTCCCACCGGCCCAGGTCCAGCTAAGGGATTCATGAAATCATGCACTGGCGGAAAAAGGCGGACTACACAAAAGGAGCAAGACGTAACTGATTTGCAAAAATAAAAAGGACCAAGGAGCTACAAGTTACGCATGAGCTGATTGTTTAGTTACTGCAGTGGTCTTAGTGGACATTATAGCGTAACTTGTAGTTTCTTGGTCCTTTTTATTTCAATAAATCAATCCTTGGCTCTCCGTCCGAGTCCATACTTATCTGATTGATACTGATATACCGTTCTTTCGATGTTTTTGACAATTGTCTTCTTAAGAATGATAATCATTCTGAAGAAGACAATAGTTGAAACGCTAATATACCGTAAAATCCCGCCAGAGCGCCCCTACCTCCTCGACGCTTCAGGTGGGGAGGGGCGGATGGGCGAGTCCTACTTGCCGCACTCAGTGCTACATGAAAAGTACTCACCCTACGAAAACTGTTCGTGCATCTCGTACACCGACCAAAGGTCAAGAGCCAGGAGTCGTACAGACCCGACAAAACGGAGGGTTTGTGCGATCCCTGGTCAAGAGGGTGGGCACTGTTGCGTACATTTCCAACGGGGTTGAGCCCGCGTCTGCAGTACAGTACGGCATCACAGACTGCGACAGAGTCATACGAGGATACAATCAATCACGTCCCTGACAAGAAGTCAGGGAGGGGCGGATGGGAGAGACGGGGCGCTCTGGCGGGATTTTACGGTAATCCGAAACTCGGGTATTGAGCCAATAATACATGTAGAAAAGAAAAAGGACATATGGAAATGAGTTAAGAGTAACTCTCCACCACTGTAACTAGATACTATATACAGTCAGAAAGTGCAACAACTAGGCACAAAACTGACAGAGTAGTGAGACATTCGACGTCCTGATACCTAGCTTCAACACATCTCCATAGCGCTAACCGACAGCCTTCCAACTTGGAAGGTTCAAGGTTATGGAGAGACCAAAGAGGGGAAGGTAAGCGCACCGAAAATGAGCACAAGCTACAGTTCCAACGGAACAAAGAATGCCGATTGTTACTGGACGATGACGAGACCAGTAGGATACTTGACAAAGCGGTCTAACTACAATTCGAAGCAGCAAAGCAGCACACCACCCAACTTGGGTGGCTCAGAAATATCAAAGATAAGTACAGAAGGGGGAAGCTTTGCGAAAACGAATTGTACAAGCCGAACGCCAAACTCCTACAGTACTCCCCATGCATGACATTGTGATGGACTAGTTGACTACAAAACAAGTTGTTTCACACGACGTACGTTTCGCCGTATGGTTCGTGAGGGCTCATCAGGTGTGCAATTCGAAACTCGGGTATTGAGCCAATAATAAAGACATTCTTTGTTCCGTTGGGACTGTAGTTTGTGCTCATTTTCGTTGCGCTTACCTTCCCCTCTTTGGTCTCTCCATAACCTTGAACCTCCCGAGTTGGAAGGCTGTCGGTTAGCGCTAAGGAGATGTGTTGAAGCTAGGTATCAGGACGTCGAATGTCTCACTACTCTGTCAGTTTTGTGCCTAGTTGTTGCACATTCTGACTGTATATAGTATCTAGTTACAGTGGTGGAGAGTTAGTCTTAACTCGTTTCCATATGTCCTCTTCTTTTCTACAGCTAATATAATTATCAGTATCAATCAGACAACTCTTGCTCCCATTGTGTGGTCACCTTTTTCCACCCGGATACCATGTGACAGTCAGTAAACACTCTGAAAACACACTTACTCTGTATGAGTTGATCAACACTGATCAGCTTCAGCAAGGCACTGCACTCTACACCACACAGTGTACAGTAGAGAAGTAGTCTGAACACTTCAGCATGACGATGCTTGGGATCACCTGTACTCTCTATGGCTGAATAGCGACTCATCAAGTCCACAGCTAGCGTAGGATCAGCAATGTTCAACGAAAACAGTGCATAAACACAACTGTCAATATCTCTACATTCACTAATGGATTGAACATCAAACTGATTCTGTAGCAGCTTCCTGAACTCAGGCGTCGTACATCGACATTTTGATGCCCAGTACAGTATCCACCTTAGTATAACTTGATTCTTGCTATCCCGCCATAGATCTGTAGGTAAACTAGCTGCGTGATCCAGTACAGCTACGACTAGATTAGTCACTGCGCTGTCCTCCTCGGTAACCATGGTAACCCTAGCACAAGCCTGGAGGATGGTCATGAGCTTCGGTACACTAGTTATGTCCTTAAGATGACGTTGAATCAGAGAAACTTGTGAAGTCAGGTGGCTAGGTTGAAACATTTGTGCAGTAACCATGGCAGTGCAGAGACCATCAATAGCCAAATTGGCATCCCGTACAGTGGTATCCTGACGCAGAGACCTATCTGAGTGGCATCTCACGGGTTGAGGGGTGCAAAGCGGCGTGGCTTTAAACGTGTTAGCTACAAGTCGTCTAGACCGGGCCAGTGTGCTCATACCATAACCATGCTGAAGAAAGTTACTCCGCACAGTCCTCAGACTGCCGGGCAACTTTGAAGCAAACATGATGTGTTAGTTACTTGCATGAGTGACACTAGTTTACACAAACACTTCCTTCTACGCTCAACTGAATGACAACTCGTAGTCACTGCACGCTGTCTGCTGACAGTGCCGTTCTCTGGGAAACACCACAAAACAGCACACACACACAGAAAACACAACATTCCACTCAACAGTTTCCTCGGAGACAAGAATGCAATGATACCGAGAAGAACAAAACCTTTCAAGATGTTCAAGAGCCTGACGTGTGCCCTTTTTCTCAGTATCAATACATTCTACTCACATTACACATTAAGTGCGGATATCAGCAGATTTCAAAGATGATCGTGGCACAATACTCGCACTGTTGACCTTCAAGTGTAGTGCTACAAAAAATTAAAATAATAAGCCTCCAGATCCAAAAAGAAGGCTTATGTATGCTGCGACGGTGAATTCCCAGGCATTGGTGGAGTCTGCGGCTACTGGTGATAATATTATGGTTTTGAATCCACCAACGGTAGTTCCAACAAAAGTCGCCTAAAGTGCATGAAAGTGCGAACTCCCGACTTCACCCCAGACAGATGTGCCTTTATGAACCCTCTGTTAGTGACTATCAACTGCTTTTCGTTGAATTGCCTGAAAAGTTTTGTTTTTTCACGGCTGAGCGTAGCAAAAGAGTGCAAAAAACCTATTTTTCACTCGCAAATATTTTCATGCGTTTGCTCTTGTTCTCTGCGCAACTCCGTTGAACCTGCCATCGTGGTCGTTGTTTTTCCTCGTGGTAGTTGAAGTTGCCCGCCCACCCACCCTGGTTTCAGGGAGGTCTTCCGCTGTTCTTCTTGATATTCTATGCCAATGTTTGTGGCTTATGATTATGACATACACTGGTTATTTATTACATACCATTTCTTGCTGTCTCTATTCTTGGGGCCGACTGGCAGCGGGGCAGGAATTAATGAAATAGAAAGGTTTTTTGGCCGAAAGGAGTGTTTTTCCTCTAGCCCGGTTGAGCGGTCGCGGCTAGGAATGTAGGGAGTCATTGTTTTCAGGCGCTCCCCTGCTGCCCAGTTACCCATACTTACCACTGGCCATGCTGTTTCACTTGATTTTACGGCCTTTTCTCCCGCTTGCTGGCGGTGCTTTGATGGATTTAAATGTTTTTCGACAATTTATCTAACTGTTATTATGTGGCTGCGAGTGTGTGGTTTTTTGCTTCTACTCATTTCTGGAAAACCACTACGGTGGTGAGTGTAATTGCTCTGGTAGACCACTACCCCATGTACTGAACAGTTGCTTTGTGAGTGAAAAGCACAAAATTTGAATAATGAGCAGGGAGGCGCCACTTTTCACACCAGAGTGCTCAAAGACAGTAGGGGGTGGGGTTAGGGCGCGCCCCCTACTCTCCTTTCGCTAGAACCCTGATAATGACTAGTAAAAAAGTGTAGAAATAGCTGAATGTCAGTGATTGCTTTTGCCCCCTATGGGCATGTCAAATACTGACAAATAGTGCAGGGAAAACATTCGTACTCATGCTTGACTAGTAAGTCCATGCACTCCGAGCTTTGCTCGTCGCGAATGCCGGGAATCTGCTGGTTCTTCCATTGTGCTCATCATAGATTTCATATGCAAACTTGATATGGAGAGGTCTGAGCGTTATTAGTGATGTTCTGCTCAGCGTTGCGGGAACGCGGCGCGAAGAATCCCGGGAACACTCTTTGCATTCCCGGAACATATCAAAAGGAAACTTGTTCTGCTCTACGTACATTATACGTTCGGGTAAAGAAATCACGCGCAAAGTGTACTGGGAATTTCCCCTTCTAAATTCGGCAGTTTTCTGCCTGCGCTTGAATGATGATAGTAATACCCAGCAGATCCGCACGCATTTTCTTTGCGTGAGCCACAACATAGAGAACCTCATCTACGAGTAGAAATCTGGACCCAAAACACGTGAAGCCGTAGACTCTAACCCAGACACCTGTTCTCTACGTTTCACATATGAGTATAGCAGAACCCGACTACTCGGACTAATGTGAACCGGTTGAGAATGGCGATAGTGTGGCATACACCAGGGACCTCTTTCAACACTGAAGACAGGACACTGGACAGAACCGAGGACTTCCGGTGATTTCAGTGACTTGTAACTATTCTAACACTCTGATCATTGTACATTTACATGATTCGTGGACTACATGTACTTGCCACTAGGCACTATTCCATTTTTATTCCCGTAGCTATGCAGAAGACGTTACTTCAGTAACGTCTGGCGCTAGCCAGGGTCCACACAGCTTTAATTTGGTGTTTGTTTGTGTGTTTGTGTCACGCCTGGCGCTATCCCGTATCTGTCCAGCACTGTACCGTACCATCAAACACAGCTTGCCACATACAGCTGGCCGCAATATTCAAATAGGGCTTTCAAACGCAAAATCATAACGTCAAGCAACTTGGAAGAATGAGTATGAATGCGAAGTGTATGGGGGAATGCATGTGGGGCGATAGTGCGGGTTCGAATCCCAGGTAATGCCTAAAAAAAATAGGAGAATTTGAAAAATTTATAACACCCCTTTTCTTTTTTTGCCGTCATCAAGGCGGTAGACGGTGTCGTATTACCCTCGATCGTACCTGTCCCGTACCTGTCCCGTACCGTACCGTACATTCAAAGACGGCTGGCCACAATGCATATTCAAATAGGGCATTCAAATACAAGATCATAACGTGAAGCAACTTGGAAGAATTGGTATGTATGCGAAGTGTATCGGGAGATGCATGCAGGGCGATAGCGCGGGTTCGAATCCCAGGTTAGGCCACCCTTTGTTAATTCATTGTTTAACGTCCTTTCTTTCGCGAAAAGGTACGCGGGAGGGCGAAAAAAAAACAAAAGCCCATTCCAAAAACTGGAAACCCCAATCAAACATTTTGACCAGTAAAGCATGTGATATATACAATATTTCTGGGTCTAACGGCACTTGCAGGCATAGAACAACACTCTTTGATGGTACATTGGAGCACAAGCCTGATGAATCCAACAAAACAGGTACATAGCATGGAGTTAGCATGTCATGAATTCATTACATCTGGATTTTTACTAGGACACACACCGTACGATATTTAAAAGCCAACAAAAAAAGAAAAAGAACACAAGACAAAGGCATGCCCGGGAGGCAAGATTATAAGTTTAAGGTCATGATCGGCACACTGTGAAACTACACAATCATGTATTTACAACTTCGCATATTATTGGTACTACTACTTTCTTGTTTTTTTTCCGGTCGGAGGCAAAAAGGTACGCGGGCGCGGACGTTAAACAACGAAAAAAGAAAGGGTGGCCTTATGTCTAAAAACAAAAAGTAGAAACTAATTACTTATAAGAATTTATAACATCCCTATGCTTTTTTTGTCTAGGTCATCAAGGCAAAAAAGCATAGCGTAGGGCCCTGAGCTTCCAAGCTCTCTCGTTTATTTTTGTAAGCAGAACATAGTGCCATTAGTGGATTCGTGGTGTATCAGTGCGGTATGCCCTATCGATGCAGGGCTCAAAGAGTTCCGGACACGAGTACTCCGAGCCTTTCACGCTTCACAGCTTAGCTAACAACAGCAGCAGCACGCCAAGGACACACGATCCGAGTCTTTCCTAGCCTAGGCAAAGGTGCGGATATCAATGAGAAAGCGCGCAATGCTTTCTTCACTCTCACCTGTATAATCGCGCGATGCTGCAGAAGTGAAGTTCAGCACTGTGCAAAATAATGCTTTACAGCTACCGGTACTAGCGATCGATGAACCGTTGCCCACTCGTACGATCGTACTCACTCTCACAGTATGCGGTAGTGAATGCACAGGGAGTCTGGAGCCAATTATCAGTACCACTAGTAGCTATTAGTAGTACACAATACACACGTTGTTGGTTTGACAGCATATTTTATCTACTACAGTCCATTCACATCATCATGATCATACCAATAATTATGATTGTACAAATACAAGGCATTATTTTTTTTCTAAGTGAATGCACGCTTGCTTGCGGCTCCTTTAAAAAAACCGGATCAAAATCTGTCCAAATTTGAGAGAGAAAATGGAAAATTGATTTTTTTAGCTAGCTTTGCTGGCTGATTGCCATGCATTAGCATGCGCCGCTGCTTTGTCTTTGAAGAAGAGATATGCAGTGTCCTACGCTGGATGCAAACATGGCGACTTAGACCCAACCTGACTAAAACCGAAATAATGTTCCTTCCCCCAATCTCATCCATGTCACTTTTACACCATCCTGATTTCCCAGAACCCATAAAGGTTGTTTCCAACCATAAACACCTGGGAATAATGCTTGATGATCGTCTCTCTTGGTCTTTCCATATTGATGCTCTTTGCAGCCGTTCAAGCTCTGCCCTAGGTGTTATACGTCCCCATTGTTTCCATCTTCCTTTCAAATGTAAAATTTTGTTTTACAAACTGTACATCCTGCCTCTTTTCATGTACGCTGCTGTTAGCTGGTGTGGCTTGTCCTCGGTTCTCGCTGAGCATCTCGAAATCCACCATAGAAAACTTCTTCGTATCCTATTTAGTCTACCCCCTCTCTACCCTTCTGCTTCCCTGTATGTCCTTGCAAATACTTGCCCACTGTCGACCCACCGTCAAAAATTAATTTGCACTTTTGCTCACAAATTTAAACTAGCTCTACATCCTCCTCATCTTAACGTGTATAACTGGTTCCGAATCACAGATGGCTCCCAGACAAGATGCTCTGTTGCCCTCCCCTTGGCTAAAACGTCCTCCCTTGTACGCTCTCCACACTTTGTTGCTTACTCTGCTTGGCTTGCGCTGCCCGCTACTACGCGCAATGCCAGTACCCTGGACGCATTTAAATCTGCTCACTAGATTCACCATCACCTGTCCCTCCCATGCTTCTCCGTCTTGACCATTACTTTTCTTCTTTTATTCACCATGGTTGGTTAACACCCACATCTCCCGTACTGGCTGATTTTCTTCTCATGCCATGAGGTGTTGTCTATAATAATAATAATAATAAGTCATGCACCTTATTGATCATCTCAACGCATCCACGTGGGGCATTCCCGATCCCCTGTCAGGCTGGCGCTGGCCTACATGTTGGGCATACACAATGGCCCTTTGACTGGATGGAAAAGAGTGCACACTTATGGTCCCTTTGACTGGAAAAGAGTGCACACAAGTTAGTTATACTTATAGTGAATGGACTGTAGTATTATAAATACTAGGGCTGAAACGATCGTGGATTTTCAAGTATCGATTACTCTTTAGCTTAGCGATCGAGTAATCGATTATACTCGTTAGCAAATAGAGTCATAATTCTGTGCAAACATTACTGTTTCCACAAACTATGCCTTCATAATACCAACAAATCTGCATTAGTGAAAGGGTAGCTCCGAAATATGGCAGTTTTGAAGTCAATTTAACCTCAGAACATGAACCATACCCCTGGCAACTGCATACTCCCAGCGGAAACTGATTCAAACTTCACAAAACGAGGGCTTTAATACAGTACTCATGGTACTTTCTTGACACAAATTTAAAAAACGCAAAATAATCGTAATCGGTAATCTAAACGATTGCTCGATCGTTAGAGTTATCAAACGAGTACTCGATTATTCGGTATAATCGTTTGGCAGCTGAGCCCTAATAAATACCATACATAACATAGTACGTATAGTCTGCTACTACTAGTACATGACATGTTGTAGTACTTTCAACTAGTACTAGTAGGCCACGTAGGACCAGAGTTTGGGTTTTTTCTCCTTCTTTTCTTTCCCCTTTTTCATAAAGCTGTTGGAGTGTTGCCATTCACAAAATTTTTTACTTCTTCTATTTTGCTGTTCAACTTTTGATCAATTATTTTTGAATTCTTTGCTCTCCGGCAGCTCCTTGCAATCAGGGAGTAGTACAATACCGGGCCGGCCGTATTGTACTACTCCCTGCTTGCAATCATTATTGCTTTGTGCGTTCAATAAAACACCTTTTTAGGACCATGTGGACTACCAGCCATGGCTGACATCAAACAGCAGAGGACTTAGAACTACAAAATACAGTACCTGTCACCAAGGTCACAGACAGTGTCACTAGTAGAATTCTTACTAGCGCCGTATAGTTTTAGTAGTCATACTCGTAGAAGCACACAGGGAGGCAGGAGGACGTCCGGACCTAGCCTACGCCAACACCGGCCTAGCGCATAATCGGACTGAGCTGTATAATTATAATCATGATAATTATATCGAATGCCGAATGGGGAGGGTGTGGGGGTTTGGGGGTGAAACCAACACACGCATAGCGGCTATTGTGCAGATCCATGTCAGGACGGTCAGTGTGCAATCATAAGAAATTAAATTAATCAACTGTCAATCTGTACAGACGTAACAGTCATTGCAAGGGGTTCATGAGCATATTACAACAGTACACGCATGATGCTATCATACGTATCTAATATTGACTGAGTACGAGGTCAATATCGGAAATAAAAGCCGAGGTCTTTTACGAGGTCTTTTATTTCCTATACTGACCAAGTACGAAGTCAATATTAGATTTATCACGACTAGCCAAAGCCTGTGTTCAATCGCTAAAAAGGAGTCAAATATAAGCGGTCAATATAGCCCTAAGGAGTGAAATATGCAGGAATATTTGACTGCTTAGGTATGGCAAAAATCTATAGGCGTCAATACTAAGGGAGTGATACAGTTGTTATGTTATAGAATATGGTTCTCTCGGTAAGACTAAGAATGCCCACATGCTGGCTACCAAGCGTCATGCGGCTTCTAGACTAAGGTCCGGTTGCAGCTCGCCTTCAACCTGCCCTGCATGGTCTGATGGTCAATGCCGTACATGTACATAATAATGTCAGTATACATGCAGAGCTGGAAGAGCGACGGTCGATGTACATGATTGTCGATCCTTGGAAGAAGTGACGTAGCCTGGTCAAGAGGAATGAACTCATTCGCGCTGCAGGCAACAGAAGTATAATACAAAAATGGCAGGTGCATGTAGAATGGAAATGGTCGAGACAAACTGTGCACTGGCCAGCAAGAAGTTACTACACACACATGTCTCTGGCCATCAGTCATTGCTGGCTGATCTGCTTGCCAATGAGCATCAGCCTTTAGCTACCAAGGTGTCCACAGGGCATGCTAGTAAGAAGCAACAGAATGAGGTCTTCGCCATGCCGTTGGACACACAGTCCACAATGTTGCCCATGGACTCATTAGGGATCTTAGCACAGCTGATATTGGAATTACACAGTAGCTAGGAATACTATTCAGCTAACCTGACAATCAAAATACCTTGAATAGTAATGGACTCGGATGGAGAGCCTGTGGTAGTCCCACTGAACTATGGCTGATAGTTGCATGACTCTGGTTGTAATGTATGTTTTGTCTCTGTCATTGATGCGCTTTCAGTAATCTGCTGATACTAGTATGCTAGAAGCATCCTAGACCTACCTGCACTGGGTTCCTTCTGTACGCATTCGCCACATACTTGGCATGCCCTATCCCTAGCGCTGGGTAGTACCATGCAGTCTACCAGCGACGTAGGTCGCACGTGATACTTGTTGTAGTGATTGTACATATTGACGGATCCTGGCGCAAGGTCGAGGAGATCAAGAGAGAGAGCCCGAGAATGGCGGCCAGATCCTGAGTGTCCTAATTTATTATCCCGAACCGTTTCCCTTGTATTTATTCTTATTGCATGTATTGATTAATCCCATTGTTGGATTGAACCGTGTTGGCTGGTGTGAACTGAGTGACGAGTTGACTGAAACATTGGCGCAGTGAACAGGATTCTTTTCTTAGTAAGTCACTCGTTGAAGTTTGTAGTTTCCACCACGCACGTGGGAAATGGCAGAAAAAGTAAAAGTCGGCGTCCGCCTTGACCTGGACCACGAGCTGGGAAACGATCATTTCCTTACTTGGCGTAGTCAGTTGGAGATTGGCTTTGCACTCCACGAAGTGAAGGATCAGGCGAAGCAGTATTTGGCAGCAGCTGCCAATTTAGGCGAGTCAGCAAGTCACTACTTATGGCAGAGCTACCCGACAGTGCCAACTACTGCAACTAATCCCTACAACGATCTTATCAAATTGTTCCAAGAATATTTCGGCTCGAAACAGAGCGCAGCGTCCCGTTTGGCGGAATTGTTTGCAGTCGAGCAACGTCCTGGGGAGACTGTACAGGCCTTTCGGCTGCGGGTGCAAAAAGACATGAGGGTTTGCAACCTGACCAGCACTCGTACTGCCGAGGAACTACTGGGAGTTGTGGGAGTCCACCTGTTTGCACGGGGGCTCAACTCTGCCAGTGCCCGAAAGAGTGTCTTGGAGCACGATGCGCAGGACTTGAGCTCCGCCGCAGCCAAGGCGCAGGCAGTGGTATTAGCTGAAGAGGGTGCCAAAGAAGCACCAGTGCCAGAGGTCAGCTATGCAGCTACGCGTCAACCTGGACATGCACCATTGCCAGCATCAGGCTGTGGGTATTGTGGAGAGACGCACGCTCCCGGCAAGCCGAACTGCCCAGCAGCGCGTATGTTCTGTGCCCAGTGTGGGCGTAAGGGACATTTTGCATCGGTGTGCCGTGCCGGATCTGGTCGAGTGGACCGCAGTGCCCAGACCCAGTCGCAGAGCACGTCATCCAGGCAACACAACCGATCAGCACCAGCCGTTTCGTCACTCCGAACTGGTGCAGCATCACCAGCCGTACAGTCCGCCCAGCCACCAGAGGCCTATGAAACATTCGGGGTACAGGCAGGGAAGACCGGTTTCACTCTACCTCTGAGGCAGGTAACCTTGGACTGCCGACACACCTTGTCGCTAAGAGTGGACTCTGCCAGCATGGTTTCCATCATCCCTAAGTCATAACTCCCATCTGGGTACGTCCTGTTACCGCCGCCATGCCCACTCCAGCCAGTGGGGACGCAACGCATAACAGCTGTGGGCGTGTTTGAGGGTAACCTGAGCTATCAGGGCCGCGAAACGACTGAGACTATCTTTGTAGTCGATGACGCACAATGCACTGTGCCAGCATTACTGGGAGAGCAGGCCTCCATCCGTTTAGGTCTTCTGGCATTGCCGATTTCAGCAGTTGAAATCCCAGCCTGTGCCGAGGGCCTAGCGTCACTCCCTGCTATGCGCGGCCCGATTACAATCGCTCTCGATCCGGATCACCCTCCGTCACAACAGTCATCTCGACGGGTAGCACCGGCACTGCTCACCTCGCTACGCCAACAACTAGATGCATGGCTAGAACAAGGAGTGGTCGAGATGGTGGAGGAAGTAACGGCTCAGGACTTTGTTTCGCCACTGGTAGCCACACCGAAACCCGACAAAACCATGCGCTGGTGCGTAGATTTACGACAAGTCAACGCAGCGGTAAGGCGACCGGGTGTGCAACTCCCAACAGCTGATGAGCTTCTATCTCAACTGTCAGGCGCATAGATGTTCTCGAAGCTTGACCTGAAGTCCGGTCCGGGTATTCTCAGCTCGAGATCTCACCTGAATGTCGCCATGCCTTCGTGGTCGCCTCACCCTTGGGGTACTTCCGTTTCTGTCGTCTACCGTTCGGCGTGTCCAGCGGCCCTGAATTATTTCAACGTAAGATGGAGCAAATTCTGGCAGGATGTGAAGGGGTAGTCATCTACCTAGACGACATTCTGATTTATGCTCCATCATTGGAAGAGCATGATCGACGCAAGGCAGCAGTCCTGACGGCTCTCAAGGAGTACAATGTCACCCTGAATGACAAGAAGTGCGTCTTCCAGGTCTCAGAGCTGGAGTTTCTGGGACATCACGTCTCGGCGAAGGGCATTTCGCCAGGTCCATCGAAGGTTGAGTCACTCAGTCAGATGTCGGATCCCACCAATGTGGCCGAACTCCGAGCATTTCTGGGCTTAGCAACCTACGTGGCAAAGTTTATTCCTAACATTGCCTCGGTTGTCGCTCCGATGACAGCACTATTGTCTGGCGAGTGGAATTGGACATCGGCTTGCCACACCGCAGCTGAGAAGATACGCAGTCTGATTACTAGTGCACCTATTCTGGCGCTATTTGACCCAACGCTGCCGACCCGCATCGAAGTTGACGCGTCTGGCCATGGCCTTGGAGCAGTACTCCTACAGCAGTCGCAAACAGATGGTCAAGAGTGGCGACCCGTCTATTACGCAGGCAGAAAGTTGTCAGATGCAGAGTCACGCTATGCAACCATCGAGCGAGAGGCACTGGCGGTCGCGTGGGGCTCTAATCGTTTCCGCAGCTTCATCACCGGCATGCCTGTGACCATTATCACTGACCACAAGCCACTGGTTCACGTATTTATGCCGTCGTACAAGCTAGCCTCAGCTAGTCTCCGAGTACAGCGCCTGGTGTTGAAAGTGCAAGACTTGACCCTAACCGTGCAATATCGCCCCGGCAAGTTGAATCACATTGCTGACGCATTGTCCAGGCTGCCGGCTGAGGATGCTGACCCGAGTTTCCTTCTCGTCCATGCTGTCACCGTGGCAGACGGTGTTTCAGCACATCGCCAGTTGATTGCCAGAGAAACAGCGCGTGACTCCACTCTGCGCTCAGTGCGAGATGCGCTGCGATCGGGTAAATGGCCGTCGGCGACAGAGCTCGCACCGTACCAAGCCCTTAGTCCGGAACTCAGCGTGTGGCCCTTTCCGAACTCGTCGGACTTTCTCATTCTGAGAGGGGAAACAGTGGTGATTCCAGCATCGGCAGCTCAACACGTACTGAACCTGGCTCACGAGGGACACCTTGGTCGAGACAGGACACTGGCTCCACTCAAGGAGACTGTGTGGTGGCCCGGTTGGAACACGGCAACTCGACATTTCCTAGCCAGCTGTACACCATGTGCGACAGAAGCAGCTATACGACCAGTACCGCTGAAACCACGCGACCTACCTCCACATGCCTGGCACACCGTCGCTATTGATGTGTTTTATTACCAGCAAAGCGCCTTCTTCAGCCTTCTGGACTTGTACAGTCGGTATCCAGCAGTTGTCCGCTTACCAGCTGAAAAGACCAGGGACATCATCAAGGCGCTGGAGCAGATCTTCACGCTGTTCGGCATGCCACGGCACGTCATCTCCGACAACGGTGCACAGTTCTGCAGCGACGAGTTCCGCAACCAGCTTGAATCGTGGGGCATCAGCCACGAACGCACTGTGCCTTACACACCACGTCAGAACCCTGTTGAGCGTCTCCACCGGACATTGAAGCAACATATGCGGAAATCCGGCATGCCACGAGCAGACGACGCCCTTCGTGTGGCGCTCAAAGCTGTTCGATCAGCTATCAACACCACTACCGGCAAACAGCCGGGAGATCTCCTACTACGAGGAGGTTATCGTACTCCACTCAGGCAGCTTCAGCCAGTAGATAACATGGCTACTGCCGAAGATGACGACGAGATAGACGAGGAAGTGCGTGAACGCGATGCTCAGCACAAGGCAGCATCCAAGGTGACTTTCGACGCAGCTCACCAAGCAAAACCCCGCACTTTGGTGCCTGGACAAGCAGTGTTTGTCAAGCAACCCTCTGGCTCAACTGACAAAGCTACCATCGTCACAGCAGCACCACATGATGCAGTCATTACGACCGAAGAGGGAGTGACTTTCCGCCGTCATCTTGACCGTCTGCAAGTGGATCCGACGGAGGTAGTAGCAACAGCTACTCCGCTAGATTCCACAGTTCCATCAGCTCCCGGCAGTCCAACGGCCGCAACACCTAGTACTGTTCCGCCAGCTGCTGGCGTCCGCAGCGTACGACTCGAAAGCCAAGTCGTTATCAGTAGACCGCTGGTCTTTTCTAAGAAGGGAGGAAATGTGGTAGTCCCACTGAACTATGGCTGATAGTTGCATGACTCTGGTTGTAATGTATGTTTTGTCTCTGTCATTGATGCGCTTTCAGTAATCTGCTGATACTAGTATGCTAGAAGCATCCTAGACCTACCTGCACTGTGTTCCTTCTGTACGCATTCGCCACATACTTGGCATGCCCTATCCCTAGCGCTGGGTAGTACCATGCAGTCTACCAGCGACGTAGGTCGCACGTGATACTTGTTGTAGTGATTGTACATATTGACGGATCCTGGCGCAAGGTCGAGGAGATCAAGAGAGAGAGCCCGAGAATGGCAACCAGATCCTGAGTGTCCTAATTTATTATCCCGAACCGTTTTCCTTGTATTTATTCTTATTGCATGTATTGATTAATCCCATTGTTGGATTGAACCGTGTTGGCTGGTGTGAACTGAGTGACGAGTTGACTGAAACAGAGCCAAGGATAAATTTATAGAAAAGAACAGGACCAGGGAGCTACAAGTAACGCTCAGTGTGTTGTGCAATGTTATCGCATAAGCTGATTGTTGTACAGTAGCTGCTGGTGGTGTTAGCGGACATTATAGCGTAACTTGTAGTACCTTGAATAGTCATCGTAAATACTATGGGCCACCTTTGGTGGTCTTCCACAGTCCATACCATCTGCTGTTGAGCTTTTACAGTCAATCAGCTTCCAAACAACCAGAAATCCATCACAAAGTTTTTGTTTGTGGAGGAAGTAGAAGTGTAGGGAGTAAAGATTCTGCAAACACTCACTCTTCTTAGAGCGCGTGGCTCTTTCGTTTCAGTACCTGAAGTTTGATCTCGAACACGACGAAGGCCACAATCCAAGCAGCAAAGATGACAAACCAAATGGCAATGACGGCAGCTGGGGCCAGTATGAGATAGACGCCAAGGCTGATGTTGATGGCGCCCAGGACCAGGAACAGACGACCACCCCACAAGTGCCAGTACTCCCAATACACACGCTTCTTGGGAGGCTCACCCTCGCCCTTGTGTGGACGCCTGGAATACGAGAAACGAAATATCGCACCGCAAAGCAAACAGGAAAACACAAAACAGAGAGTACTAACATCTCAGTCTAAGATCACATTCATTAATGACATTCGCACCAAAACCAAGGTGAATAAGAGCTCAATCAAACACTACTCCGACAGAGCGCCAAATGACCAGCCACCCGGTTGCCTGGGGACACCCAGAAAGTGGAAAGAGGGTCTCAGTGATGTGTCCCGGAATATGACTGAAGGGGGGGGGGGGGGGAGCATCAAACGCTGGGAATGTTGCTATCAGGCCAGGGTGTGAGTGATGCTCACACCCTGGCCCCTGCAACCTGTGCTTTGAATGTGTAAGTGCAGAACTGAAGTACAGTCATGTGTCATTTATCCATGGTTCAGTCATACGCCATGCCGCATGTCCAACATCAGTGTGGCAGCAAGGTTTCAACGTGCATGTATTATTGTTAAATGGTGTGGCAGACAGTATGTTCCAAGCAAACCGTTGTTACGAAAAGAATGCCAAAATAACGGTACACGCACATGGACATGTGCGGCCATGTACAAACATAATGTGTACATGTGGACACATGGTGATAATTTAGCTTTCAGTTATCCGGGATGTTCACTCAACCAACAGGGCCCGGTCCCGAGGGTGTCGGATAACTGACACGCTACTGTAGTTTGTTGCCTTTCAGATTCGTTGGGTGTCTTTATTCACTGCCTCAGTCTGGCTAGCAAAGGCGGACGCGAGTGCTCACAAGCTCAGTACTATACTATAGCCTGGTGCATTCATAGCCAGAATGACACCTCGTCACAATTAGTGAATGACTCACATGAGACCGTTGATGATTTGCTGGATGCTGAAGATGAGGATGAGCGCACCGATGAGGCCGTGAGCAAAGTTAGGCACAGCACGAGTGCCAGGGAATACCAGGATGATACCGAGAAAGGAAAGGCTAGCTCCAGCGATCTACAGAAACCAGAGAACACAACACCGAGGATGGGATGGTCTTACAGGATTGACAATGGCATGAAACTCTGCACAGGCATGACTATGCGTCATGGCTATATTCGTATCACATTTCCTGGTCAGGACTACCTCACAGCGGAAAGGCATGCAGGTTAGTCAACATGTACCGTATTTTCCGGAGTATATAAGCTGCACGCAGATAGTCTGGCACGAAATACAGATATCTACCCTATTTATCACCGCTAATTCGACCATTGACTTTTTTTGGGTGAATTACTGGTGTTTAACGGTGCGGCTTATACTCAGGAAAACACGGTGCAAGTTCTCAGTGTATGCCACCCGGTAGAACTATTGCTGATGCTATTCTCCCCTCAATGTCCCAATTTTACTTTTCTTCTGTCTCTTCTTCTCGGTTGCCATGGCTGACCAATGCCCTCAACCATTTATACTGGCTACTGCCATTGGACAGTGAGTAAATCACAAGATATCAATCAATCAGAAACGGCGGCATTATCTTGTGCATGTACAGATTACTCATGAGTTTCTGCAATATCAAGTTACTCACCTGAAGACCGCGATGCAGCTTGAACCAGAGTGGATCCTTGTCGCGGAAATACCGTGCAATGAAGACACCGGCAATGAGTAGAATTCCCCAGCTGATAATCATGAAGAAACCGTGCAGATGCATGTAGAGGAACCAGGTAGGACCGCAACTTCCAACAGTGTCGGCCGTTTCAGGGTTACCAGTCAGAAGCCACATGTCATCCAGGTTGCTGCAATCACACAATAGACAGAAGAGCAGCAGCAAGAGTGCATTACTAGCTGAAGGGAAAGATACACATAACGTTATTGTGTAGAGTTCGTTAGACTCGGGCCAGATATTCTCCATCCGCAGTGCAACCATAGAATACCGATCCTTTTTTTTCTTTCCTTTTTTTACATAATCAGAAGTACCTACTTTTTTGCATTCAAAAACTGCTCAACAGCTTGTCAGGACTGAACTACATAAAGCATTACTGGCTTGCTTGAGAGTCAGTAGGCGTAAGATCACATCCTTAGTGATCAAGGCAAAAAAACACAGAAATTATTTTCACAAATACATTGCCGGTGCAACACTCCTCCATCCTAAAGACCTCCTCGCCTTCCTGTTCTTCCTTTGCGTGTTTCCAACAAAAAAAGGGTGGCAACAGCACATCGGAAGAGTAATGACATCACTTAGCAACTTACCCACCGCCAGACTCAAAACCTCCCCAGAGCAGAATACCAGTCATGGCGCCTCCATCAGTAATGGTCACCATACCGTGGCTACGGCGTAATGGCGGCAGAGGGCCTGCAGATCCAGTCTGTTAACACACACACACACACACACACACACACACACACACACACACACACACACACACACACACACAAACACCCACCCACACATGCATGCACGTGCACATGCATACACACACACACACACATACACACAAGCATGCACGCGCGCGCACACACACTCACACACACACACACACACACGTATGCATGCACACACACACACACACACACACACAAGCATGCACGCACGCACACACACACACACACACACACACACACACACACAAACACACCCAAACACACACGCACACACATGTAGAGATCAGATATCCAACCGTGAATCCAACTGCATATCAGCTAGCAGTATACCAGCAGTCGTCAGAATAAAGAACAAAATTAGCTTCAGGCTCTTCACAAGAAACACTTCCAGAAAAATTCCACAACTTGCGGTATTTTCATTGCCTTCAGGTGGATGGATGCAGGCCAAAAAGAAACTCAGTAACCAGCACAATTTGATGAACCAGCAGGCATTGCTATGTATTTGGCTGAGCATCCTGAATGTCGTGGTGTATACTTGATTCAGGTCATTTTTTCTCCATCCTGACATGTGTACATATTACATATTGCCAAGTTGTTGAATGTTTCGGAAGCGGTCTATATTCACACAAAGAAACCAAACCTACTGAAACAGAAACAGACCGCCTTCATGCTTAGACTGATAGTGCGGGCACCAACATATTGTTAGTGCTGTCAATTTGTTTGTTGTTGTTGTTGTTGTTGTTGTTGTTGCTTTATCTACACGTATTTATTTATACAAAAGTCCACTATACTCCTGAATAGGCACGTCTGTTACCATCACACTACATATGACACCTACCTGACCTCTTCTAGCCTATACATGTACACCACCTGTGCATCATGATAGGACTTCATTTTAAGCTCAGGTTCAGGTACATTCGGGCCTGGTTTAATCTGGCTTTGGAAATCTATTTTCATTGCTATCAGGTTCGGCCTCGTTTTCTCTGTGCTGCGCTGATGAGTCCACAAAGGACGAAACAGTTCTGTCCGCAGATTGAGTATTCAGTGTCTATACGTTTTCAATGCTTGACTTTAACGTACGGAGCAACACACACATTTTCAGCTCTTTCAGCTATTCTTTCGTGTGCTTATTCTCCCCATTCCTCTTAAAACGTTACTACGGCTTCATCACCTTTAACGTCACCTTCACAGTCATTACTTACTGCACTGGGCAGTTTCTTTTCTGTCGATATCCATCAGAAGAGAAGGCAGTGAAAGTGCTTGTGGAAATATTTAGGAAATGTTGCTTGAGAGGAGCCTGAACTACAAGTGTAGGCTAGTTCTGTTCTCCAGTCTGATTGCATTTTTTGTGTACGAGAAAGTCGATTTTACAAGTAGTAGGCTTTAACATCTTCTCTTCCATTAAAATCGGTGAAAATGGCGGACAGGATTCTTGGCTTCGTTCTATGTTGTTAATCTAGGCGAAGAGCCTTACTGTGGCAAGACGCTTCCATTCTCCAGAGCTGGTTTCCAAGTAGTCGACTTCATTGTCCTCTGAGGTCTTGCTCTGTAAGAAAGATCAAATGTACGGATGAAGAATGTGAAAATACTGTAGCAAGGTAGGTGGAAGGGAATCAAAATTCAGAAAGGCCCGAAATTTCCTCGATTGGAGTTTGGCAGTGGCTTGACACACCCACACACACCTGGGACCTTGGACACGCTGCCATGCTCTGGCTATGCGGACCCATGGGGGGGGGGGGACACAAACACCCCCCCCCCCCCCACACACACACACCCACGCAACCACACACGCACCCCCCCCCCCCCCCCCCCACACACACCACACACACTTTTCTTTGTACTTGCTCACTGCCAAAACTGGTAGTATCCATTGGTTGCCAGTGTATGTTATTCATACTGGAGTGTAATGCACTTCCTCACCTCTTGCCGCCTCCCCCCCCCCCCCCATTTGACTGAATTTTCAGACAACGCAAAGTATATGCAAAGTCAAACATTTTCGTGACATGCAGAGTGCAATGCGTGCCCAGGATTTTGTATAGAGCTAACCAGGCGGCAAACCATGGATCAAAGATGAGCAATGCTCCAGCGACTATGTTATTCAGCGCAGCAGCACCCTCCCATAAAAAAAACTACCCTTTTGCAGTCCCTTACCATGATACGAAAAACTAACACACACCATTCTCAAATCAAGCGGTCTCTTCGCTGTAAACTACTAATACCGGATATCTCCATCAAATTTTTCGCCAGGAGCCATCATCAGGACTCCTCCCTCCCCCCTTACCATGATGATGGATCTATCCTTTTCCAAACCGCTGAACATAACGACAGCTCCATCGCGTCCTGGCCACCTTGCCATGGCCGAGTACTGACGAGGGGCTGCACAGTCTTTCATGCGTTCCCACTTGGAGTTACGAAACGCCCAGGAGTCGATGGCCGGACACGGTCCCCCGCTGAACCCACCGCTGAGGCAGCCGCCAAACATCACTGGCTCGTCCGGTGCGGCCATTGTACTGCCGACAAGGCATCGCGCGTGCGGTTGCGTAGCCGAATACTCCCCGGTGCCGCCAAACACGGATGTCCATCTCATCTTGTCCAAGTCGTAGCGGCTTGTGTCGGAAAACCGCCGGTTTGAGAAGCCATGCGACACGTACAGGGATGTGCCGTTCACGTGAAGGCCCCCCGCGGAGCCGTATCTCTTCGTTGGCACATCACCATCTGACGGCAGCTCCGTCCAGCTTCCATTATTGACATTATAAGCCCAGACGTCATTGAAGAAGACTTTACTGTTGCCTTCACCAGTTGAGATCACGAACAAACCATCTTCTCCTAATGTGTAGAATCCTGAAATCATACTAAACCTTGGTGGCGGCTGTTGCGTTGGACTCAGCTCTCTCCATAATCTCGTGCTCAAATCGAAGCGCCACAAATCGTTCATAATTCCAGCGTCTCCCCTACCGCCAAACAAATACACGACATTGGCATTCGGATCGTATCCTAGGCCAAAATCATTCCGAGCAGAAGGCTTGGTTCCGCTTTGAAGTACTGGTGTCCAGATTAGCTGCGAGCGACAAACAGGCAGAAGGAGAACGTCGACAAGCAACGTTACCACTACAAGCAAGCGCGACATATTGCCGGCCGTTGATCACTCAGGTCGCGTAGAGCGGGCACCTCCACTGGCTCCAGGCTACCGACTGCTTCCAAGTACAAACCGCAGTCAGAGACGACTGCGCGAGGAATGGTTCGTTCCACTCGAGCACCTAACGCCGTGACGGCGAAACTGAGCAGTTACAATTTTAGTTACTCTCTTGTAGTTGTAGTTGTACTAAGCTATATATAAGTTGTAGCCCGACTTCTTCACCACATGATCCGCCAACCCATGTAATGATGTAGTTCTAGATCTACTCTCCGAAGCAAGAGTCAAGACTCATTGGGTGACGAATCGCATTTTTGAATCAAAGACAAAGTCGAAGGCCAAATAAAAGGGGTGTAAACCATGTAAACCATGAATGGCCGCGGCCAGCTAGGTAGTCGGTTTTCCCTACTCCCGATCCCGGCCCCTGGTGTAGTCTACCAGTACCACTGCCCACTGGCACTGGTCTACGGGCTATGGACCGCCTGTGGCGTGCGAATGAATTATGTAGCGTAGCATTGGCTCTCGGCCCTCGGAATGAGTGTCCGGAGACTGTGTGGCGAGAGCCATTCGGATTCTACACAACAGTCAACACGTCTACACGATTACAGTCTACACTACAGCCTATGTATGAATGTTATGACATGCCACGGAGATCATCACATCAGACACGGATCCTAGGAGTCGAGTGATCATGCATGGTGATGCCGGAACACAGGCCGTGCAGTCTGCATGAAGTCCGTGCGGCACCAGACGTCTACAACTAACGTTACTTTACAAGACAAGAGGAAGATTAGTAATACTAATAGTTGCGGACTAGACTAGACTACAAAACTGGAGTCGAGATCGGGTTTGAGGAAAATTCGGATTCATCCATTAGGTGCGGGCCGGCCTCGCATTGCATCCTCTTCTCCCACCCAACACTCAACACTCAGCAACAAGACTTGCAGTTGTACTGAGTCTGTAGTGCGATGCTGCGAATATGCTAAGGGAATACTAGAAATCTGTTAGCTCCATTTCTTCCTTTTGCTCCATGCAGGTAAATCTACCAACCATCCGACGCTGCTGTTAGAAAGTGCCGCTCACTACTCGCAACCGAAACCTTGAAATCAATCAGAACCGCGAAGCTTCGGGCTTGGATGCACATTGACATCGCAATGGTAATTTTACCTAGTAGAATGGCATTGTGGTTCCGAGTCTTCCAACACCTCTTTACAACTACCGGTAACCGAAAACTAAAAGGTAGACTTAAGGTACAGGTTTCTGTGAAAGAGGCTTTGGACACTCCCTGAAGAAAAGGTACACCGTGCCATAGCCTAGGTCTACACGGCGTCACAGTCCGACACCCGGATGCCGCAGGCAGAACGAACTACTTCGCGGTCCATTCATAGTAAAATACTCACTATTCAGTAGATCTACCATAGAAAGAAACCCGATCAGGCCAAACTAAAGAAGGTGTGTGGTTCGACTCACCCGACCGACCGTACAATTTCAGCCCGACCGTAACTTTTTTTCGGCGGGCTGTCGTGTGACTGACGTACGTGGACTGAACACGTCCACGTCTACGTGCTGTGCTGCGTGAGTCTGCGGACGCAGGCGGCTCCTTTTGGACTTGACTTGTAGTTGTACTGCAGTGCAGTGCAGTGAGTGGTACGACTGCTGCCTTGTGCTGGTAGTAGAGTCTACTCGATACGCGTATACAGTGTATTTACATGTACTAAAAAATATATTTAAAAAAAAAAATCCGCCCGCCCGCCCGTAAAAAAAATGTCCATGTTAGTCGAACCACACACCTTCTTTAGTTTGGCCTCATCCTGTTATTTTGCAGTTTTGCGGGAGGCGCGCCACGATAAACGCACATGGTATCTATCACGCGTAAATCTGCCGTACATTGTTACAAACCAGCAAACAGTACTGTTGGTCTGTAACAATTATGTACAGCAGATTTACGATTTACTCCGGACGCTGGAGCCTGGGAAATGTTTTCGATGTTCACAAAGTAGATTCTACATATGAACGGAGGTTTTGGTCGCATCGATCTAGTCGCGGATAAGTGCGGTGTCGTTCATTCTGGACTGAGCCTTGCTAGGCTCTGTAACCTTGATAAGCTCCGTCTCAATGGGAGCGGAGTGATTGCAAACATGCTCCGGGTAAATCTACTACTTGTAGCTGTAGCGCTGCTCCCAGGCACTCTCTTTCTGCCAACGTGTCGCTCTCAACTAACATGGACTTCGTTGACAGAGACTCAGAGCCTGACGCGGCCGTCCGCACGCCACGACTTCGGCTTCGGCTACGACCCGGACAAGAACATGGCTTACCTCTTCGGCGGAATGGCTGACGATGGGATCAAGAACGATCTGTGGAGCCTGAACCTGACCAGTGCAACTTGGAACAGGCTGGGCGACGCAATAACTCCGCAGCCGCCAGCTAGATTCAGCATGCTGTCCGGTGTTTACACACAAGGGCCGGACACGTTGTTCGTAATCTCTACGGGACAAGGGAGCGGGAGAGTATTCTTCAATGATATCTGGGCATACAGCGTCACAGCGGGAAGCTGGAAGCAGTTGGCCAAGCGTGGTGATGTGCCGGATACGCGGTACGGTGCAGCAGGTGGCCTTCACGTGAATGGTACCTCGTTCTACGTGTCGCACGGCTTCTCCAACCGTCGTCACTCTGACACAAGTCGTTACGACATGCGTGAACAACGCTGGATACGGGTATTCTCCGGCGCCAGCAAGTACTCGAGCACAAAGCCTCACCCGCGCTGCCGCGTTGGAACGACCATGGCCGGCGTAGATGAGCCAGTGTTGTACGGTGGATGCCTGAGCGGTGGATTCAGCGGCGGACCGTGCCCGTCGGTGGACTCGTGGGCACTGCGCGGCGGTGCCGAGTGGAAGCGCATGGAGGACTGCGCGGCACCAAGTCAGTTCTCCGGCATGGCCCGGTGGCCTGGCGGTGACGGGAAAGTGGTGATGTTCGGAGGATTGGAGACGGATAGGTCCATCATCACGGTGAGCCCACTCCTAATGTTGGAGGTGTCGTGAAGAACATAGTGTTGCGTGAATATTTCTCGCTCCACACATACTGGCACACACACAGACATAGACAGCAATAGCGAAACAATACACAAAGTGAACTGAAAAAAGCGGGTTATAATAGTGTAGATTACAGTTTCAGGGCATTTATGTACACATTCGGCACCCCCCCCCCCCCCCTCTTTTCTCTTTTTCTATTCTACAGAGCAAGACATCAGAATACAACGAGGTGGACTACTTGGTGACGAGCTCTGGAGCATGGAAGCGCCTGGCAACAGTACGTATAGAAACCAATGGGTAAATAGCACTGGTGGTACTACTGAACTATCATATAGTGCTGGGAAACTTGCTCTACATGCCTCGATGGGGCACTTACTGCATGCACAAAACTCAGCGCTTGGAAGTTGCTTGGGAAGCTCATAGTTTATTCTGTTGGAGAATTATGCAGTGGTCTGATGTTGCCTCCTGCACTGATCATGACTGTGTGCAGATGATGCTAAATTGAAATTCGTCAGTTTCACTTGTATGAAGAGGTCTGGACCTGGTTGCATTCAAAGAAGAACGCTATAAACTTATCTGAATACCGCCACATTTGACATGAGTCATGATCATTATGACTGTGAGTCATGATCATTATGACTGTGAGTCATGATCATATGACTGTGAGTCGTGATCATGTGACAGTGAGTCGTGATCATGTGACAGTGAGTCATGATCATTATGACAGTGAGTCATGATCATTATGACAGTGAGTCATGATCATGTGACTCTGTAACTGTGTGCATACACGCAAGTGCACGGCACTGTGAGATTTGTACTCTGCCGTGTTTTCCCGCACTTGCCGTGTGTTTCGTTAGACCGGTGCGGACGGTTCAGTTCCATCGTTGCGGCACAGTCATGGTATGATCACCATAACACGCGGCGGCACCAGGACTGGAGTGCTCGTCTGGGGAGGCGTCAACAGTGAACAAGGGTGAGGCTACTTTAGTGCAAATTTGTACAGCTATTGCCTCGTTAGCTGATCCACTAGCGCAGCTGTAATAATAATATAATAATAATACCACAGCACGCGTACAAAGGCCAAAGAACAATGCATGAGAATACACTGAAATTAAGCCAAGTCCGCTTCTGTCTCCAGTCAACAAAAAACTCATCCATAAACAATGTCTGATCTCCATTTCGACTTGTCTGCAGCAAATGCTCGTGCTCCTTCTAGGTCGCTGGCATTCTTCAAAGGAATGTCGTGCCCTGCCAGGTCCTTCATGATGGTGGTAGGGAGAGTAGCCGCGGGACGGCCCCTTCGTCCACGTGACCCCGCTTGAAAATAGCAGGACATCGCAAGGCAAGGGGGTGACTGCTCACTCATCCTCAGCACATGGCCAGTGAGGCTACGGCGTCGCTTGGCAACAAGCTCCGACAGTGGCTGCGAGTCACATCTGGAGTACAGATCATCATTCGTAATTCTGTCTGGATATCGCACTCCCACCAGGTTTCTGAGCTGTCGGCGGTGAAAACAGTCCAGTCGCTGAAAGACTGCCTGGTTTACTCCCCAAGTCTCACAGTTGTAAAGGAGGACAGGCAGCACAAGCGAGCTGTACAGCTTGAGCCTGGACATTTCTGACACATGCTTGCGCCGCAGCCAGAGGCTGAACATACTACCGTATGCCTGGGATGCCAGCGAAATCCGCCTGTCGATATCCTCAGCGCCCCCCATAAGAGAGCCAAGCTGCCTGATGCTCCGCCAGGATGAATTGCCTGACGTAAAGTGCACCCACTCCGTTTTTCGCTCATTTACTTTTAGGTTCCAAGCAGCTGTAGTATTCTCTATTTCTCCAGTACAAAACAACAAGAGTCCAGACTCAACGCATGCTCAGCAACTAAAAGTCGTGAAGTCTGTTTCACGCGCGTGCGAGAAACGGCACATGCTAGATTCATAACATAACAGTTAACACGATGTGCCACTACTCGAAGTATCATGAATATCTGCATGGGGTGGCCAAGGAATGCAACAGCGCATATGGAGATGTGAACACTACATCGGCCACCTAAACGGCGGCAGTCGATATAGACTAGCGCACTTCGAAAACTATCTCTGACTTTGATACTGTTGCTCCTATCGTCGAACCCCTTCCCTTTGGTGAAAATGGCGAGATATCTTGCTCTGTAAAGTGCATGTGAACGACGGATGACATGCACACAGGATATCTGGCTCCACTGCACGTGCACACAGGATATCTGGCTCCACTGCACATGCACACAGGATATCTGGCTCCACTGCACATGCAATGGGATGCACTGTATAGATGGCTGTACTTCAAACAGTCATGACTCGTGTCAACTGATTTTCTCAAATGATACGCTGTTGGAAAGGTATTGGGCTCAGCTCTCCAGTGATGTAAAGGTCTTTGCAATAGGGCTAGGTTTGATAGAGCATAAGTGAAAAGAATTGCAAAAATTAAAAAAAGTACATACCCTGTCTGGCGAACAATTCAAGCTGGTTGCTGGCAACGCCATCCCGTCTAGGGGTTTCCCTGGGACTAAAGCATATGAGTGTGGGGTATCAAACAAAGCGCTTAGCTTAGCTTTGCAGCGCATTTTGAGTCACGAAGATCAGTTGGGTTTGAGAGAGGCGGCAAACTAAAGTGTGATATGAAGTTGTTCTGAGATTCAGAGACAATGTCATGATAAGGCAGCTTCTAGAGCAAAATCATAGATGTGGCCTTCGCATGCCTATGGAGCTGAGAACTGTTTAAGTGTCTGGTCTTGGCTCGGACCTTTCCAACTAGCCATAGACTCGTGGAGATCCATCCAGGTATGACAAAAATTAATGACGATAGATTTTCTTGGCAATGCTCATGCAGAGTGGTGTGTTAAGCCTGCAAGCCACGCAGGAGTCCATTGCGGGACAAGGCAAGGACTGATTTATTTACAGAGCATGCATTTTGCAATACAGATGAGAGAGAGAGAGACAATGCTGAGAAATAGGTGCGCTGAACGCCTAGCCACCTGAGGAAAACCAGGTCGGCAGTGAAAGGGATAAAATGTATATGTATACTCGTGTTAGGAAAGACACTGAAGGACACGACATGCATGAGTGCACATACACACACACATGCACACACACACACACACACACACACACACACACACACACACACACACACACACACACACACACACACACACACACACACACACACACACACACACATGCACACACACACACACACGCACATGCATGCACACACACTGAGCCATCAACAAAATTTAAGGTTTGCATGAGAGTCTTTTCCCACTGAATGTTCCGCATCTGTGCCGGGGACACCATGACCCCTTATTATGGCATTTGTTGTTACAGAAACCTTGACGACATGTGGCTGCTAACGGGTAGCCCTGAAACGGCCGAAACTGTTGGAAGTTGCGGTCCTACCTGGTTCCTCTACATGCATCTGCACGGTTTCTTCATGATTATCAGCTGGGGAATTCTACTCATTGCCGGTGTCTTCATTGCACGGTATTGTCGCGACCAGGATCCACTCTGGTTCAAACTGCATCGCGGTATTCAGGTAAGCAGTGGACTCTAGCAACATTGAGACCCCGACAATGCTGGGAGGTCACATGTACAAGAAACCTGGAAGGATTGTGGTCGTTCATCAAACCTTACAAACTTGCACTCGAAATGCCAACTCACGTATGATGCCCCCTGGCGGGTGAGCCAGAGGTATTTTCTGAACTTCGCAGCTGAAGGGGATCATTACACATGGAGAGCGTCGAAATGTACTTTACTGTTCAATGAAATCCAGTCACGTCACTCAAGTACGCGCCGGGCGTTGCGCAGTCCTAAGACCTGCGAACACTGGGCTGCGGAATGATGCAAGGTGCAAACTTGGGTGACGGGGCTGGATTTCATTGAGCAGCACTGCATTTGAATTGTTCTGGTGCCTGCTTTAGATAATCGGGACCGGCATGTCTATTCTTGGCATCATCCTGGTACTCCCTGGCACGCGGGCAGCACCTAACTTTGCCCATTCTGTCATCGGTGTTCTGATCCTGATCTTCAGCATACAGCAAATCATCAACGGCTTCATGTAAGTTACATAGATTCTGTTCATGTAGGTAGGTAGGTGCGGGGGTTGGTAATACTAATATTTAGTACTCAGCGTTTAGACTCACCCGGAGATGTGCTTTGCCCAGCTCGCATGCCGATAACACCGAAATAAGCCTGCCAACACGGCACTGCATGCAGTCCTCCGATAGTCTACAGGTGTAGTGCAGATTATTATTATTATTATTATTATTATTATTATTATTATTATTATTATTATTTAACAGCAGTACATTACACCTAGAACATTAACGGCCAAGCTTGGCCGCACTAAACACGACACGTTACTTGAACAATTTCAACCCAATTGTACTATCTTTCTGTACACACAAATTAGGCGGTGCGTATTCCGACTCTTCGTTCACTGTATTGTGCCGTGGTCGTCATGGTTATGGACTACAGTTAAAAGTGTTGGAAGCTATCTATCAGCGTCTGTACAAGCCTAATTTGTGTGTACAGAAAGATAGTATAATTGGGTTGAAATTGTTCAAGTAACGTGTCGTGTTTAGTGCGGCCAAGCTTGGCCGCTAATGTTCTAGGTGTAATGTACTGCTGTTATGTGTTATCACGTTGTCTTTCCTTGCTTTCTCCTTTGTTCATTTCTCGCTTTGATTATTATTATTATTATATATATTTGAGGATTTCCCAAAGACGTAGTCTAAATTGAAGGGAGTTCCATTATAATGGGAGGCTGTAGGGTTGAGATGCTGATACACTAGCTGCATAGTCACTGGTCTGTATCATATACACTAGTTACTGGTCTGTATCATACGCACTGCATGATACTGGTAGTATGTGCAAGGCTATGTTTAACAGGGAGCCTGCATCATATGCACTGCACCATGTGTGCAATGCTGTGTTCACTAGATAGGCTGCATCATATGCACTGCATAACGTGTGCAAGGCAGTGTTCAGCAGAGAGTCCGCCATACGTGTTCCACGTTTTGTTTCTGTCCATGTAGGCGTCCCCCAAAGGACAAGGAAGCGGTGTACTGGCAGCCCAAAAAGCGGGCGTACTGGGAACTGTGGCATAAGTGGGGTGCTCGCCTCTTCCTGGTCCTGGGTGCCATCAACATCAGCCTTGGCGTCTTTCTCATCATCGCGCCAACCTCGATTATTGCTGTCTGGTTCACTATCCTGGGACTGTGGGTGCTTGCGTTTGCTGCTGCCGAGTTCTTTCATCAGTTGTTCAAGAGCATGTGCTGAGGCACTGTTGGGCCCGGTCAGTTAGTGAACTACCGGTATGTCCATATTGACAACAGCCGTAAACTGACATGATGACGTTCTAGCCACTTTACATCGTTCGAATATGTTCCTTTTGAAAGCATGTTACGCAGAGAGGAAGAGGAAGAGAGAGGGAGAGGGAGAGAGAGAGAGAGAGATAGATAGATAGATAGAGAGAGATAGAGAGACAGACAGACAGACAGACAGACAGACATACAGACAGAGACAGAGAGATTGTGATAGAGAAAGAGAGAATTGTCAAGAGCTGCACCACTGAGTCGGATTTAGCTTCCAGTAAGGGCCTCGATTGTCAACCACAACGTGAGAATACGTATGCATCCAAGTCACCCACGGTCAGAGTTTGCATGCTGATGCGTCAATGCCCCGTCTGGCTTTTTGTAATGCCAGTGAAACATTACTTTTGACGAAGAACGTTTAAAAAAGAATAGTTGAACCTAACCAGTAGTTTTAGAGGAGATTTTTTACAGCATTTATATTTTAGTATCGCCAAAGTCGCACCATCCTCTTCTTCACATTTTATATTTACGTATTCACACTAGTCAGAACAAAAGAGAGAGAGAGAAATATTTACGTATTCAAATATCTCATATTCCCCCCGTGACTGGCTTAGGTTCCCTTGCAATCACCTATCAGATGACTATGATTTAGAGAAGATGTATTCCTACAGATCCCGGGATTCCAGGAATTGCCTTGAGAGCCTGAATCCCCCCCGTTGCCGGTGCCTGGCTTGCAGCTCAGTGGAATTAGTGCCAGCATTCATGCAGCTTCTCCAAAACTCCACTGCTGTACTACATGTACTGGACCTTTGCTTTCTCTTGCCTGTATACAACCTCCATGCAGAGGAATTTGCATTTGCTACTCCGTGCAGAGGAGGGAAACCTGTCGACTGAACTGATAGTATGCCAGCTCTACTGTCTATTGTATTGTGTCTTTAAATGAAGTCATTTTGAAATACGGTTGTGATATGCAGTGTGGATGCTTTTAGCTTCTTGATGATGAACAGGATTAATTAGTACTTCAAAGTGTTTGAGTATCTGGCCCCTTGTCTTGTCTTGGCGCGGCACTCGTTATGCTTTGCACGTTGGTTCTTTGCCATCGTGCGTGCAACGATCGCTATTCATCACAGCTACCTGAGCACTCTGGCTGTGACTCCAAAGTTAGGGCTTTGTAGTGGCTCCATATAAATCATTGCGACCAGTTTGGCCAGACGCTATTCAACTCATTATCAGCCTGGACTGGGAGAACTCCTGTTTGTAACATGTTTACGTGATACTGTGGACTGATCCCGGCAAGTGAACTATGTCTCTGCAGTTACCATGGTTATATGATTTTCGAATGCCCGGGATCCAGGCCTGTGGACCCACAGTGTTAAAAAAATGTTGAGTCTTGTCACTTCTACCTCAGTTTGGGTTTCCGCCTTTCCGGAAACCCTTTTTCGGTGTGTACTCCATATCAATTCATATTATTATTGCTGGTTTGTGGTGCAAGAATATCAGCAGGACAAAATGACACATTGCACTCGTGTAGTTATGGGCAGAGTACGACATCCACTCGGTTATCTGAACTCACAGACACAGGACGTGTGAGTTCAGATACCGGTAATCGAGATTTTCGGATAACCGGGATGGGATTTCATACACTTTCCTGGTTTCCAGCCACAACTTTTTATGAGCCTCCATCAACAGTTTACATGCGGCATGGTAGATCTACATGGTAATACTAATAGTACTACTGTAGATAATATACTAAGTCTATGGTCGAGGCTAGGGAAATCTTCACACTTATGACATGTGTGGGGCTCCCTGCATGCAGGCCTGGTCAAGGGCAGAAAGAATTATCGGTAACAATATTACATACTAACAACGGGACGGCTACGTCGTTCAGGGAATCAGGGACAGTGCCTCCGACGAGTGACAATCAGTGCATGCAGTGGCAGCGAGTAGTAAAACATGTTTGTACAGTCAACTTCGCTAATAAGGACTACGGATATAACGACATTTCGCGAATAGCGACCATGCCCAGAGCAAATTCCCATCCAACTGTAATGCATTATAATGAGACTTCGGATATAAAGACACTTCGCAAATAAGGACACTTTTCTGATGCCCCGCCGAGTGTCGTTATACGCAAAGTCAGTTGACTGTACATGACTGTGTAGTTCAATGGCAGTGCCAGTAGTGCCCGGTAGTAGTGGTGCTTTGTAGTGGTGCAGCGATGTCTTTTCAGCAACTCAGCTTTGCGGTGTTCTGTCACCTTTGTCCTCTGTCTCTTGGGCCCACGCTCCTTCCATGATACATGCTGCTTCAACTTCAAGTGCTCTTGTCCGTAGACGTGATGCAAGAAGAGGCGACGGTGATCGTCAGCGAGCAGTGCAGAGAGCTGAGCGGTGTGGAAGGACAACGACAGACTTACTTTACGGGACGAGCGACAGGAAGTTTCGCCATTACTTCGCCATTGCCGAGCCACCGCGCTCTCACTCAGCAGAGACATCTGTGTATGACGAGTGTTGTTGTCGTGAGACAACGACCGACTTCTTTTACGGGACGAGCGAGAGGAATTTTCGCGCCGACACGCTCGACCGCGTTCCGTACTTTGTCCTACGCGGCGAACTCCTTGTGTAACGGCAGAATGGTATCGAGAACTGCAGATCTGCTGGGATTGGGAATGCCGACCTCACTACTGATCAGCGTGGTGGTCGCATCGTTGCTCAATGCTGAGCTGGCGCGCTGTTACGGCGGCAGCCAACATGTTCATGCTTCTGATGCTGCTGTCGGAAGCGTTGTTCCGGCGATATCGGAGTCTGACCACGGCGTTCCGCATGGGCGAGCAAAGCGTCAAGAATCGATCTCTCCCCTCTTGGACAGATACCGCGAAGAGTTTTATTGGAGGATGCAGAAAGAACCGCTGCGCTACGCCTACTGTAGCGTGTACGACTACCCGATCACCATTTTCCCCAACCTGCTTGGTCACGAAACTCAAGAAGAAGCCCAACGGGAACTGCGAGGTGAGGGAAACGAGGAGAATGGCTTGCCGTTGTCTGGTTGTGGGGATTGTGGGAATGATGATATCAAACTGATGACAATGCGGGACATAAGAGCACCTCTCAGGACGGCTGGGCCAGGGGCGGGGGGGGGGGGGGGGGGGAACTGTCGAAGCTTGTGCGATTTGTAAGACAATATGTGCATGCAGCTGTTGTTGTTGCGATGGTTGACGTCGATCGGCACGAGTCCTAAAGGGCTTTTCATATTTTACACGAGAACAATAAGCCCGGGCTTATTCACCTCGGGCTTTTTTTTTTCAACCGTTTACATGACGAAGGTACGGGCGCCCGCGGGCCTGCATGTGACCCTGGCGAGGTCACCAATCTGCACAAAACCACCTCCTTAGGTGCTGTTTTTATCGTTAATGTTAGGGGAGTGGGGGGGGGGGGTCATACCTGCCAAGTACAGAGAGTGCTTTTTTCCGGATCATCGGGGCTAAATAACTAGATTTGCCTCAGTTTTTCACTGATTGTGGTTGCCAGGCTGAAGGTAAAGGTAGCGGCTCATAGTCAATTCTGACCGTAGGTGCAAGAGGTGTTAAATACCTCCTGCTTCAACGAGCTTGACATACCATATTTCCCCGTAAGTTAGTTCTCCCCAATGAGTTAGTACCCCCCCCCCCCCTATAAAATAGACACTGCCAAGGTTATCACCCCGAAAGACAGTTCCCCCCGGAAGATAGTACCCCACGCCTATTTTGACACACAACATTGCTGCATGAGATTTGCTTCACATGGCATTGTGTTTCACTTTACATCGATTCATGAAGATCAAAACCAGGGAAGTCTCTAGTAAAAAATCATGTTCTTGTATGACATAGGTGAGACTGTAGAAAAGCATCACTCTCCGGCGTCCTCATCTGTGACGGCAACATTGGACTGGAGGTTAGTCACTCCTCGGCTTCTTCATCTGCAACGACATCATCCGGCTCGACGTTGGCTGCACCGTTGGCTGCACCGCCTCTGACAATGCGGTAGTCAGGCAGACCATGTAGCTTCACCATGCCGTCTTCACTGCCATCGGCACGGAGAGAAATCCCGATGGATTTCAGGGATGAATTTCAATGATCCTGTACCGTATCGCAGTTTGCGATGCAAAATCGATCTACTGCTACTCAAAAGTCACCGTGACTCGCAGAAAGTTGCGATACATACAGGCTATCCATGCCTAGCCTGCGCTGTCAAGTAACATGCATACAGTGCAGTGTATGTGGTGCAGGTACTCTCAATCTGGGTACACATGTATGCTTCATTCGTTTTTTCTGCAAATGGGCTTTCAGTAGCCCTTTCCCAAAGGGGCTCTTTTAATTCGCACTTAGTGCTTTTCGCGTCCCTCAAAATATGCTGAAAAAGTGCTCTTTTTTCAGTGAAAACAGGCAAAAAGTGCTCTCTTTTCAGTGAAGCATAGCCATGACACATGTTCAAATATGAACCCAAGCTGAGAAATGAATACGCACTCTTCCATTTATGGGTCCACAAAAGGCAAAACAGGAAGTAAAGTTCAAAAAGCCCACTCTTACAGCACTGTGTACAAGCTTCACCAACTAACTTGTTGCCCCCCAAAAAGGCGGCGTGCCAAGGCCCGGGCCCATCGAGCACTCGGAAACTGTGATCGCAAGCATGAGCAAACAGATTTTACCACTTTTTCAGCTAAAAAAGCTCAAAAAGGGCGATATTCACCAAAAAACGCAATAAAGGGCGAAAGAAACGGGCTTTTCCAAAAAGGGTCAAAAAGGGCGAAAAAAGAGCACCTTTGGGAAAGGGCTAGCTTTCAGGCATCACTCTCAAGAAGGATAATGTGGCAAACACCGAACCTTGAAAGAAAAATACTAATCAAAATCAAAGACTGCTACACAATTGTGATTTCGTATAGCAGAAACTGCTATGCAAAAATATGACAGTAAATTCATCCCTGGATTTGAATATGGACTGGATTGGTTCTTGCAGCGATGCGCTGACTTCCTGCCAAGCTTGGCCCACCCACTTTGTCATCAAGACTCTGCGGCGCTTGGCAGGTATGGTACCGTTAATATACGCATCCAGGTTTGCCGACAAATGCTCGTTGAAGAGATCGTCGACTTTCGTCTTAAACGGCTTGTTGAAGAGCACATCGAGAGGTTGGAGAACTGACGTCAAGGCACCACCGATGGCAATCAAGGCAGTGTTACACTCCTGCTCCATGACGGTTCTTGCATTATCAGTTAGCTGAGCGCGATTACTGTCCAGCACCAACATCTCACGTGTAGCCACATCTCTTCGCCACATATGCCTGGCCCAAAACAGGAACATGGTTTCATCGCACCAAAGCATTTGGATGAAATTTAACAGTGACACGGTGACACGGTGACACGGTGACACGGTGATCATACGCTTGCTTCTCTGCCTGTGTAATGCTTCGGCCCGCGAAAGATAACAAGAGGCTTCGTACGCGGAACACCGTCGGCAAAGATGGTCAGCTGCACAGTTGCTTGTCATTTGTCTAGCCCGGAACCTCCGACTGCCCTGCACCATACTGTCTTGCTCCCTTTGTCTGCGTCCGTTTTTCCGGAATTGAGGTCAAATGGCAGAGGCGTCTGATCCATGTTGCCGATGTTGTTCAGGAAAAATTCCCCGGCTGCGATGATGTTGTCATGGAACTCACGAACCAGCTGCAGTTTCCTCTCAGGTTCCTCTTGTGCGCGATTGGTTGTAGCTCTTAGGGAGACGGAGAAACGAGTCTGGAATCGCTCAAACCAGTGCTTCGAGATTTCGAAGAGAATTGTTCCATCCTCATCAACCTTCGCAGGATACAGTTCACGAAGCAGCTTGTCAGCTCTGTTCTTGAACCACCAAGCTTTTACCTTCAGCCCCTTCGCTCTCTGCTCCTTGAATTCAGCGTGGAGCTGCTGCTCCATTTCTGGCCCGTCTGATTTTCGGCCACTGCCAATACAACGCATGTTTCGGGGATGCTGACGAAGAGCTTCTTCCTGTGCTAGCCATCGTGACACGTAGTTGTGATGAGGCAAAGAGAAGTGGCGAGCAGTTTGACCTTTAGACGCATTGTTTTGCCGGTGCCATGCCAGGACCGCAAGCTTTTTATCCCTGGTGAAGGAATGGCGAGTTTGGGAGGGTCGGTCATGATTTGCTCGCGCAACTTCAGCTTCATTTACGTCAACAGCTACAGCTGCTTCTTCTCCCGCGTCGTCGTGATCCAGGTCGTCACCAGCTTGGACCTCAGTCTCAGATTCATCATCCCAATCCACGTCGTCATCATCAAATGGCTCAAAAAAATCTCCTTCAAGTTCACGACGATCCATGGTGGACACTTCACCTCAACTTGAAAATGACGAGTACGAGTGGAGTAGAAAGGAAAAGGACATAAAGGAAACGAGTTAAGAGTAACTCTCCACCACTGTAACTAGATACTATATACAGTCAGAAAGTGCAACAACTAGGCACAAAACCGACAGAGTTCTGAGACATTCGACGTCCTGACACCTACCTTCAACACATCTCCGTAGCGGTAACCGACAGCCAACTCGTTTCCTTTATGTCCTTTTCCTTTCTACTTTTATCCCGAGTTTCAAAATGCACACCTGACGAGTGGAGTGAAGAACTTAGTAGGTGCGCGCGGCCCGTAAGTTCGTACCCGTCCTACATGTACAGACACCGTACAGTACATACATCATATGCACGGACACTACAGTTGCGCAGGCTTCCCACTACGTGTCATTTACCCCCGATAAAAAAGTACTCCCCGAAAGATAGTACCACCCCCGAAAGTTAGTACTCGTGTGGCTGCTAAGTTTGAAAGTTAGTACGTACTAACTTACGGGGAAATACGGTAGTGAGGGAGGTTCTCATTCCCTCCCCCAAACCAGCTTCGCCTCCCCTACCGAAGTCAGGTACCCAATCCCAGACAGGTCTCCTGGGGGTGGAAACAATCTTCACTCACGCTGGAACCGAGCCCATGGAGGGTGATGGCGTTCCGAGCCCATGGAGGGTGATGGCGTTCCTAGCCCATGGAGGGTGATGGCGTTCCTAGCCCATAGAGGGTGATGGTGTTCCTAGCCCATGGAGGGTGATGGCGTTCCTAGCCCATGGAGGTTGATGGCGTTCCTAGCCCATAGAGGGTGATGGCGTTCCTAGCCCATGGAGGGTGATGGCGTTCCTAGCCCATAGAGGGTGATGGCGTTCCTAGCCCATAGAGGGTGATGGCGTTCCTAGCCCATAGAGGGTGATGGCGTTCCTAGCCCATGGAGGGTGATGGCGTTCCTACGGATGTGCAAAACTCGGCTTGCAACCGAGTCTCACGAGAATTGTGAATTTTTTATTTTTTTTATTTTTTACTGTATGTACGTACATGTCTAAATGTACTTGGTGGTTGTTGTTGGTGTACATGTCTAAATGTACTTGGTGGTTGTTGTTGGTGTACATGTCTAAATGTACTTGGTGGTTGTTGGTGTACTAGTAGTCTTTACGTCAAGAAGTACTAATGGCTGCGCATTATAAAAAATATATTAATTTTAAGCTGCGTCCATGTGTAGGGTCTCCTGAAGCGACTGTGGACAAAGATTTATTCCTGGGCTTTGTAATAACAGAAGCGGACCAGGCATCATGACTTTGCACATCTATCGTTATGCTGCTTCATTACGCGACCTGTTTTATTATTATTATTTTTAATAAGTAACGAGTTATGACTAACAGGTCACCAAGGTTACGAAATAATTATTATACAGTAACTTACTGGTCCTGCGGTTTCTGCTTTGAATTTTCCTGCAGGTTTTGGCGAGCTCATTGAGAGCAAGTGTTCAAGCGAGCTTCCGTTCCTTCTCTGCTCGTTTTATTTTCCAATCGCCGTGAACGGCATGGTCAACCCTCTGGTGGCGTGCAAGAATCTGTGCAAGAGAGTTCGTCGCAAGTATGTATAGTCACAGCCTGACCCAGACGCATTCAGTCCTTGTCGTGGATGTGCGTGTGTACATTGCGGACCATCTCATATCAAGTGGATAGAACAGCCTAAGAACACCAGCATGTTTTTGGCCGCATATTTCTTTCCAGCACCAGCAGCACACATAGTGTTGCATTATCTGGAAAGTGACTCGGAGTGGTGGCACGTTGTGAAGTCTGTGGCATTAAATTTTTGAAAGCGTTCCACCGCAAGAAGATACGACCTGCAGTTGATAGAGTCCATTTTTCACAAACCAAACCACTGCCCCAACATAGATTGAATGTGTCTGGAAAGGCTGACCGCTCATCCACAAGCACACATTTTAAATACCAGTTCACTACTTACCATGTACATGATTGAACATGCGCAGCGAAACAACGACACGTTTGCAAAACACCCTGGATACCATATACCATACACTACTACACATAAAGTATCATTTTTTTGGTTTGGGTCCCTGCATCATAATCTTTTCCTATAATTTGAATTTAGACCCACATGCAGCGTACCTTGGCTGTAAGGTACAGATGGTGACGTCCCTCGGAGGTACTAGTATGCTGTACCGAAGGGTCGCTGACTTTCTGTGGTGCCGGTACTGAGTTAAGAACTGGTTTGAGTCAATGACTGCACCAAAATGCCCCGGCGGAGGGATCCAGCCTGATTAGTAATGGCCCCGGGAACTTGAAAAGCGTATGGCCACTATTCACGTTGTAGGACTGTAGTAGCTGTACACAGGTCTGCCCATGCATGAGGAATCTGAACAATGTCAACGAAGGCAGGTTTACTGTATGCATGCCAATGTCGTCAATTCATTTGGACGAACTGTTGCTCTCCTCGCCACTCTACACAACAACAAAAGACTCGTGCAAATTGGGAGAGAGCGTTTTCTCTAACTTGATTTCACAAGGCGACTGGAGAACTGCGCTCCAACAAAACGGACAAGAGAATATATTATGGGGACGTGGAGAAAAGAGGGGAAAACGTGGGGTGAGGGATACGAAAGAGGTGCCTGTGCAAAGTACAACAAGGCCTGAACAGGACGGGAGACAAAGACGAACGACGGGGAAATACGACGGACACAAGACGGCAACCAGACAAATACAACGGAGACAAGACGAGAAAATGTGTATGCAACGGGTACGAGATGAGAAATATTGCATACGGAGGGGACAGAAGACGGTGCAGCGGCATGTACAAAGCATTCCAAGACAGCGCAGCGGCGTGTACCACGGGTCAGCAGCATGTACGACACAGAGATACATACGCAGCCACGTGTACGACAAAAGAGACACAAGCGCAGCCACATGTACGACAAAGAGACACCCGCGCAGCCGCATGTACGACACAGAGCTACAAGCGCGACCACATGTACAACACCAAGGCTCTTTAAAAAGTGGGAGTAGCTCAGATATCCTCTTTCCACCATTTGGATTTCCATTTTCAGATGCAGCTACCTTTTGGCTCAGCATGGCCTTCCCTGGCCAAAATCATTCAACTGCGAAGGCTTGCCGAGAGTGCCCGAGCTAGTAGTGGCCGACGATGATGAGGCAGTCATGTGTTACAGGAGTGTCAAGTTCCTGACACCCAACACCACCCTGCTGAACACACGTGAGCATTAGCATGCACAATCAGCCCATAATCTGCTGGCTTTGAAGCTGAGCACGGTATTTTGAGTCATAGTTCAGGGAATCAGAGCCACCCAGAAACCATGACTCAGGATCCTCGATATATTCTTGTTCCTTTCCAGCTGCCATATCTGTTATTATTAGAATATGGGATCTTTCAGCTGAATGTTGAAAAGTTCAGGTGTATGAAAGCCAATCAGTGAATGACGTCTTGACAATGTATGCCTAATATCAAGACTGTAGGCAAGCTACTACCCGGTAAGCTCCCTTAATAGAACAGTTACGCTCCTGCTAGTATCTGTTTTGTACCTGGTACCATGACGTTCATGCAGCCCTACGTTCACTGACACCACCTCCAAGCTGCCCTGTGATCAATTCGGAGACGTGCACGCCGCTTCCTGCAACGAAAAAGTCCTTCTGCCGGCTGAAGCCGATCATCAACTGGGGTGAGTATAACTGGGCATTACTGGGGTACATGGACCTCAGGATCCATTTTACTTTGTTTTCTTACCCATTAATCACAGTCTTTGTGCCTTTTTGCATGCTTGGTACCTTAGCTGGAGTATTAGCCCAGGTATGTACAGCCTCAACCTTGGTTCTGTCCTAGATCGTATATACATGTATGTCAAGTTTCGTCTCATCATCATGGAGCAGCTTATGCGAAGGCTAGCCAAGCTTGCTTGGCGATGCCAACGCGGAAAAGCCTATAATAATAATAATCTACAGCCGAAAAGTATCGTTTTTATGATTGGTATGACACACACGGCAGGCGATCAATATTGGCAGAATCAATAAAAGAACAGTCTCCAATACTATGGTCTCCTTTAGTAGTACAGAGCTCTTCGCCTGCACTCATGTAATATTCTATACACACAACAAGGCAACGAAGGGCTCTTCGCCTGCACTCATGTAATATTCTATACACACAACAAGGCAACGAAGGTGGGTATGTGTTCCAAGAACCTTTTCTCGTGATGGTCATCAGCCGGAATAACATCACTAGGCTGCATTGGTACGAATGACATTTTTCCTTCGTACCAATGCAGTGGTGTTATTCCAACTGTGACCATCACGAGAACACGTGTTCTTGGAGCACATACCCACCTTCGTTGCCTTGTTGTGCGTATAGAATATGAGTGCGCAGTTTATCCTTTTTATTGCTATAACTGTACATTTATTGGGGATAATATGGTATTTAGTTTCACTCACAAATACTTTCGAGCAGTTGCTCTTGTTCTTATTGTCTGCAAACTCCAATGCAGCCACTTACACATTTATGGAACCTCTAACGCTCCAATAACGGTGTCTTCACTACGAATCACATCAATGTGTGCGCTTGCACGTGTGTGTGTGTGTGTTTGTTTGTGTTTGTGTGTGTGTGTGTGTGTGTGTGTGTGCGTGTGCGTGTGTTCACGTGCATGTGTGTGTGTCACGGTGTGTGTGTGTGTGTCACGGTGTATGTGTGTGTGCACTTATTTTTTGATTGTATTCGTAGCTATCCATGGCGTGGTAAAGAAGCGCGTCATTGAAGGGAAGAAGATATGTTACAAGGTAGCGGTGTACGATATCTTGATCTTCCGTGGCAAGCTCCTCAATGAGACAAGAACGAAGGAGAAGGCGTGGAAGCGCTTGGGCAGACGTTGGCCCGTGACAAACGGCAGCATGACAGGGTTGGTCTGCACAAGCAGTTCAGCAGAGTGCCCAGCCTGCCCGAAACTGGAGCAATACACACTGCCTGTGTCCAATACGCCGAAGAAGGGCAAGCACGGCAAGAAGTTTGGATTCCTCATGGCTGGAGAGGTAAGCAGCTGTGAATATACTCCGTTCGGAAAGAATAATTGGCTCCGGGATTTTTCAAACCCGAATTAGGCTCAACTTTTATCATCCCGACCCCTCAAGGGATTTTCCTACCATCGCGAAACTTTGCATGTAAATATATTTTAATGGAGCGACCTACATGTCAAAATATACATTCATTCGGACCAAGGGTAGCTGGGCTAGAGGTATGTTCCCTCATGGGAAAAACGGGATCACGGGAGCATAAGTGGGGCAGGGCTACTCGGATCCAAACCCGATGGCTCTGGATCGGGATTCGACCAATCGATCCGATGATTGCAGATCGAGTGGATCCTATGGATCTGGATCTGGATCCGACCAAATGATGACGGCCCATCGTTTCGTCGGATTCGGATCCAGATCCCAGATCTACTGGATCCCTCAGAATCAATCGATACCGTTTGTTTGCACCGCTACCGTGACTGTTGAGGCAGAAAAGTGGCAGGCTAAAGTTACTCCAGGGTTCGTATGCGTTGTATTCATCTGCATGGTGCAGCGTGTGACCGCCTGTAAATGTACTACATGCGTCACCTGCCAAACCCGTGCAAACGGTTTGTTTAGCAAAAAAAGAATTTGTTTAGCAAGAAAAGAATCTGCTGCTTCCAGTCAACCCTACTCCTGGGGCAGGGTTGCTCGGATTCAAATCTGAGGGATCTGGATCCGGATTTGACCGATCGACCCTTGTGAATCGAGCGAACGTGTGGATCTGGATCTGGATCCGACCAAACGATCACATCCTATGGCATCACAATGAATAAGCCTGATGCACACATTGGAATGCTGCGGCGCTACCCCGAATGCAAGTCACCCTCCGTGCACGGAATAGCAAATTTCGTAGCTGGTGGCCTGAAAATAGTGTTGCGACGTACTGCAAAGTATATACTTATTCTTGGGTGTGATCTATATTCGGGGAAATTATTATTATTTGAAACTCGGGTATTGAGCCAATAATAAAAGTAGAAAGGAAAAGGACATGTCTCAATGCCTCAGTACTCTGTCAGGTTTGTGCCTAGTTGTTGCACTTTCTGACTGTATATACCGTATTTTCCGGGGTATAAGCCGCACTTTTTTCCGCTAAAAATCGGACCAAAATCGCCCCTGCGGCTTATACACCGAATATGCTTGCGCGAATGAATGGATGCATCAGGGAGTCGTAAAAGCCCTTTTACGGCTCCCTGCTTAGCATACATCAGTATGCATGCTGACGTCATGTGACATGTCATTCGACTCAGCTTCGCGCCTGTGTTGCTATCCCGGCACTTCTTTTACTAGTTTTAGTGCATCAGTGGCAGCGAGACTGAAGATAGTGCAGATGACATGGAGTGATCTGTAGTCAACACAGCAATACTATATACACCAACATCTCTGCAGCAACCTGTGGTGCACTAACACTTCATAATCTGATCTAACATGGTATTTAGCTCCATAACCATAATAAATTTGTAGAAAGGCCATTTGTCAATGAGTGTGAAAAATCTTGGTTTGTGGGTGCGGCTTATACTCCGAATACCAACTTTTAGTCAATATTTTGCCTCAAAAAGGGGAGTGCGGCTTATACCCCGGAAAATACGGTAGTACTGTAAATATACTCAATCTGCGGACTACTGTAAATATACCAAATTTCGGCGCTGCAAAATTTCGGCACTTCACGATTTTTGACATTTCGGCGGCGATTTATTTTCGGCGTGGGGTAGAGGGCATGGTATAGTGCGACAGATGCTGTGAAAAATTTCATCGGCGTTTTAATTTAGGCGTTTTGGGTCGGTGCCGAACATAGCCGAAATTAAATAGCTGCCGAAAATTTGTATATTTATAGTATCTAGTTACAGTGGTGGAGAGTTACTCTTAACTCGTTTCCATATGTCCTTTTCCTTTCTACTTTTATTATTACCCAATGCTGTAGACAGCAAGCTGTTTCGGCCATAAAGGCCTCATCGGTACAGCTACGAGCTAAATAGGCCGAGCTACCAGCCATGGTGCAAAGGAGGCACCACAGACATTAAGGTAGCTCGTCGCTCTAGCGCCAGAGTGCTCAAACTACAAAATGTAGCGGGCATTGCGCGATGCAGCAGCACTAGAGCAGCCTACTGAGAGTGCTCAACAAGGCGAAAGCCGAGGAGCGTGATACCCAATGCTGTAGACAGCAAGCTGTTTCGGCCATAAAGGCCTCATCAGTACAGCTACGAGCTAAATAGGCCGAGCTACCAGCCATGGTGCAAAGGAGGCACCACAGACATTTTAAGGTAGCTCGTCGCTCTAGCGCCAGAGTGCTCAAACTACAAAGTGTAGCGGGCATTGCGCGATGCAGCAGCACTAGAGCAGCCTACTGAGAGTGCTCAACAAGGCGAAAGCCGAGGAGCATGATACCCAATGCTGTAGACAGCAAGCTTTTATTATTATTATTATTTTATTATTATTATTATTTATTCATATTTTAATAGGGCAGTCCCCACAGACTCAAGGTCTTCTTACGGGGTACCAGGAAATACTGTGCTGTACTGTACTTGTACATAAGTGGAAACCCAAGTGATACTGGTTGTGGTAGTCATGCATTGTACATCACGGCTGTAGTACTGATGTGCACAGTCATGGTAAAAGTGCATTGCGTAATGCTCTTGGCCGTATGCTGCTGTTGAGCTGGTTTTACAGATGAAGAATCTGAGAGACACAATGGCTGGTTGTCTATTCTTTCCGTGTGCTTAGTCTCGTTTCTTGCATGCCTACACTGGTGTATTGGGCGCTTGGTTTTCAATGTCTCTCCGCTCCACCTGCAGGAGGTACCACCGGATATGAAAAAGCTGACTTGGTTCTACATTGCGTCTCCCAACACGACCATCATTGCACCGTACAAGACGCCTTTCCCTCGGCGACTGATCAAATGGCGGCAGCGCTGCGACTCGAAGAAAAACAACAATCAAAAGTGAAATGTGGAAAACGGGACGTGCTCCGCGCAGTCGCACAGCGCATTGCCAGATCCTTCCATCCGTAACAGTTGTCCGGTAGCGTTGCTACCGTCATTAGTGTAGTTTTAGCATTCCAGTCACCATCATTTTGGTCCCGTCAAACTTGTTTATTATTACTACTTATTCAACATCCCCTGGCTCGTCGTAAGACTGCCAATATTTATGAGAAGTTTACACCCGTAGAAACATAATGCATGCATTGGCACATGGCCCTCAGCCTCTCAGGGTAGAATAGGTACACAGTATAACATACTGCGTGCACTGTACTCCCTTTTTTTGGGGGAATTTCAACAGCTGCCATATACTGTACCATGATATACAATACACGACTGTACATCGGCACGTCGTCCCTACATCCCCTGTGTCTTGTTTTGTGTTTATGTCCACATGTCTCTTTGTAGGGCTGTGCTCCTAATAAAAATAAAATAAAATAAATGGCTGGATCATGTATGTAACTGTTATTATTATGGCAGTCAATGTGATTGTTAGCGGTGAGTGCGCTCACGCTAAGCGAACGTGCCCGATGCGATCATTGACGGAATCACGGGACAGGGTACGTGTGTGTGGTGTTGACTGTTGCTGCTCAATACTCCCATCCTGATCGAAAGATATGATACCCAACACTCTATCAAGAAGTAGAAACCTACTCTGGTGAAAGCCGTGTAAAATCATAATGATCTACCGGTATAAGTCTGACACGTCATGTAAAATGATCAAAGTTCAAAATTATGGCAATTATTAGAGAGGTTCTGCAAAACGAAAATGTGTACGAACTTCGCTCTACGTCACGAAGTGAGAAACTTCGCACGAACTTTCGCAACTTTGGACGCGAAACTTGCAGGGAACGCGAAATGAACTTTCGTAGGAAGTTTCGTGAGATTGGATCATGTCGTACGTGCACTTGGCGCGTGCAAACTACGAAAATGTGCAGAACACAAAGTTCGTGCGAAAATTCGTACACACTTTCGCAAGGCCTGTCGCGAAACTTCGTTCGAACTTTCGTTGTGCAGAACCTCTCTATTATTCTAGCAGTGACGTGATGATAACCAGGGAGTAGTAATATGCCGGTATCTTACTACTCCTGCTTATTATTATGATCATCACCAGCATCGGCTGATGCTTTTTTCCCGAAAGCATGATTGGTGATTTCATAAAACTGACACAAAACAAGAAATCCCACCAGGGGACAGGATTGAGACACTACTTCGACCCGAGATAAAATTGTCTTACGAGTACCTAAAGAGAATAGAAATTCAAACGGCCACCGCTGGCATTGTTGGCAGATGATCAGTCAGGATCCTCGTGATTTTTCTCCGATATACCGGTACATGCACTGGACGTAGCTGGTAGCGAGGGGGCTGTCTGATCAATGGCTGCTGTGTTAGTAGTAGGGTGGGTTGTTGCAGTAGCAGCCGGTGGCGCCGGTCGCATGGTCTTGAACATTCCCATCAGGGACTGCAGCATGGCCTCGTTGGAGTTAGCACTGCCGCCGGCTGTCTTGCCCGCCGAGCTTCCTCCTCCTCCTCCGTGCTGCTGTCCGGATATTGAGTCAGCAACGGCTGCACCACTCACCTTTGTGGCAGCCGTGTTCTTCTCACTGGTTGAAGAGCAGCCTGTTGCAGGGAGAACAGACGTACCGTTGGATTGCGCCACAGCAGAAACTGATGCCGCGTGTGGCAATGCAGCTGATGAGCGTATGCTCGCATCTGCCAGCGCCGTGCTACTACTGTTGCTGTTTGCAGATGTAATGAGCTGCTGCAATGCTGAGAATTGCCGCTCAAACAGCTGTTGCATAGCGTCAAAGCGCTCATCAATGTGATTCTTCAGCCGCTTTTCCATCTCTACCAGCTCACTGGCAGCAACGTATTGTTCAGGACTTCTCACCGCATCACAGCCATTTGGGTGCCTGGCATCAGCAGCAGTAAGCGTATCAGCACTCTTATCGGCTTCGGCATCCTGGTGTGCGGCAGTGTGTTCCGCTGCAGGCGGCTGGTGTTGCTTAGCAGGTGCCATAGAGTCAAGCACTGGCTTCAAATGAGGCAGCATCATGCCTATCGCACTGGACAAGGCATCACCAGATGCCGCTGATGACGATGCACCGCCGCTTTGTGCCAGGGATGCTAGATTCATGCCGGACAGAAGCTGCGCCATTCCGGCAAGGCCTGCAACACCACCACCACTGTGGTTGCCCTGGCCGTCCCTTCCAGCCGCTGCTGCCGATTGTGACACCATCTGTTGCAGCTCACCGGCCACCGACGAGCGATTCTCCTGATAGCGACGCACGGAATCTAGCAGAGCCTCAGCACGCTTATCGCGTGGTGCGCCCACTTGGTCAATCCATCGCTCCACCGATGCCATGTTAATGGAGGGCTGGATGCCATTGGTACAGGCGACGGGTGCTATGGACACGCGCACTGAGAACAGCACCAGAGAATCTGATCGGGTTAGCGACACGAAGCGAACCCGACATGCGCGGCATGTGGAGTTCTCCTCCGGTAGGGTTACCAAGAACACAGAGACTTTGCCCAGCACATACGGCGAGGTGGTGGTCGACGACACGCTTGCCACCTCTACGGTGTCTTGCAGTGCCTCAAGCTGCCCTTTGGCAGTGCCACAGTATTCACCATCCGCATACACCTGCACAGCCAGTCACAAAACAACACATAAGTACTGAGTGGCAGTGCATAGACTGTCAAGTCCGAGGGAAAAATGCGCTGAATTTCAACAGAATACGGGGAAATCCCACAGATACATAACCATCAATGTACTCTTGACAGTTCATACTTTTAAAAGTGTCTTGTATTAAAGCCAGTCCGGTATTAGTAGACGCGTATTTTGGATACAAGCCTGCTTTTCATGATTCACTGTCCGCACATAAGCCTGGTTTTAGTGTTGACATACGTAGAAATACCTGGTTCAAACAGAAGCCTAGGACCGACAACGCCTTCTACAGGATTATTACGCGAGTCTGACACTACGCCTACGGGTGTATCATACTGAATAGAGAGGTTAAGCTGCACGTTATTTTTGACGCGACACGAGTTCCGCTCGCGTCGTTTGGCTCACGCGTTGGAAAACAACGCGAGAGCTGCATCTCATGTCGAAATACGGCATTCTACACCAATCGATGACCCATTTGACGTGAAATTGTGCGTCACGTCAAAAATAGTGTGCAGCATAACCTCTCTGATAGTAATATAGCAGACATTTGAACCCGCATATCGCGCGCACCTGATCATCATTATCAGTACCATGATTTTTGATTCTGCTGAATCAACGCAAAACATGTAATAATATCAAGAGTCCATAAACAAGAGTATGCAACTGTGATCTCTTTTCTATGGGCCAGATGCGCGGCGCGCTGCCTTCATTACATCACTCAGCTGCAGCCCGCGCACTGCGGAAAATCAAACACCGCACTTTCCCTCTGGTTTGAAATGAACTTTCGTACGGAACTGGAGTTCACGCGCCCGAATTTAGAGATCACGTAGGTACTGGAACGAATCGAGCAAAAACGGATGGGCTCGTAGAAGAAATTGTGAGTTTGAATGCATGCTTTCAGAGCGTGATGAAGGCAAGTTACGTAATGAAGGCAGCGCGCCACGCACTGACCCATAACCACAGTTGCATACTCTTGTTTATGCACTCTTGATAATAGGGAGGTTTCGCTCTACGTAATTACGTATGAAAATCCGTATGTCGTACGCGCCGGGGACCGAGGGCAACTTTCATACGTAAATCTCTCTACGGATTTCCGTAGGAAAGCTCTTTCCTACGTTGGGTCCTCCGTAGGACTTTTTGAAATATATTTTCGCATTTTCCGCATTTGTCCATGGCAACATTCAAGCCACGCGAAACACAAGGTACACACACCGTACACCACGTGCAAAATATCATGGAAAACGCGGTTTCGGTTCATGGTGCATACGGTGGGCGCATGCAGCCAACGCGTCTCCAAAGCAACAACGCATGTTGAGCAGTCGTGGAGAAATCACGTAGAGCGAAACCCAACAGCTCTGATTTTCACGTATGAAAATTCCGTGCAGTTCATACGTTATTTTCATACGTAATTCCGTAGAGCGAAACCTCCCTACAGTCTGTTTCAAAAAGATTAGCAATCAAGTTTGGGTCTTGAAAAGTATGAAGATAAGGGAAATTTGGACAACAAAGTACATAAAATGGCTTGTTAGGGCATGGCAAATTGTTCTGTGAAGGTTTCAGAACAATTGGACCAACCGTTAAGGAGTTAGAATTTCGGCCAGGTTTCTTGCCTTTTCCCATGGTTTATAATTTGCCCTGGAAGCCAGTATCGATTTTTTATCAAAATCCACGATTTATCCCTTCCTTTTTGGCCTTGTGGTTATGAATGCTGTCTGCTGACCATGAAGCTGTGAGTTCAAATCCCAGCAAATCTTCAAGTCAAACATTTATTCTTCATTTTTTCATTGTTTTGGTGATCACGCTGGTACAATTTTTGTACAAGAGTCAAGACAAAGAAGGTGGCTGCGCCAAACGACTTGTTGTTGGAGCTCGCGTTTCCTGCCGAACTGACTGACACTTGACTGGCTCACGCCATGTGAAGTTGTGAACACACACAACACTGAAACCGTGTGAGTGAACACGGAAGTCACTGCGCTGTAGCTACGTGTTGTTGAATACACCGGCACATCGATCGATTGATTTCTGTTTGAGAATTATTTTAGTATTTCAAGATCGCCAATTTATTTGAATTCAGGAGTCAACGCCGTCTTCTATCAGCTTTCACAGGCGTCTGCTTTTCTCAAAATGTCGTTGAAGTCACACGGATAGCTTTGCCACATCAAGGCCTTGGGAATGAGTCTGTGTCAATGCCGTTTTCGTCACATCGTGAGAGTAAATAATTGCATCCACGGCAGCTCAAAGAATCTATTTTGGTCACAAAACGAATTGGGACGCATCCCGCTCGTCAAAATTTACCAGACTTTCGACATGTCCTCTTTGACTCCATGCCATATCGATACGAGGAAGAACTCGTTTGTTGTAAACCAGACGAATACAAAGTCATGTACGAGTACCGACGTCAGTGAGTTGTCATTTTTAATGCTTTCGCGCGGAATATTTCTTCGAGTTCACAGTGAGTTTTTCCAGGCAGTCCTCGAGCGCTCATACGGTAAGACGGCAAACTCCCTGGGCGATCGCCAGGATTGCTAATCTTTTTGAAACTGACTATAATATCCGTGGAAATAATGTTTTTTTTGCAAAACACATGTGTGAACTTACCTCCACGCGACGAGCATCACAAACAGCCAGAAATCCCGATAGCCGATGTCCACGTTCGGGAAAGATGGTTATTTCGCATGGACAGTCGTTCTCCTCGGATCTTTCCACTAAGCAATGCTCAGCAGCTGGGGCAACAACTGCGTGTTCAACCCATTCGTTTGGCGGACTTGGATGAGAGGTGAAGACATCACTGGCCTGAAGACCGCCACCAAACTTGCTCTTCCAGGAGGACGCTACCCTGAACGGGCATCCTGAAGGGCAGATGTCCTGCTCTACAGACATGACACACAATTGAAAACTGTGTCTAGAACCACTCGGTGTTCATTTCGAAATTCCAAAATCAAACTGTAGCTGTGCTGGCCAGACCAAACAAAAACACACACACACACACACCCATGAAAACATGTTTTGCATAATTATGAAGAGAATTTTTTTTGATTTTTTGAAAACACTTATCGCCATAGCGTAGACCATGCATGGTGCATGCACGGATATCCTCATTAGACATTTTACATCTACAGAACCAACAATCATTGAGCTGTGTGCTTGTCAGCCAATGCCTGGCAATGGCGTATGCTAGCAGTCTGGTGTGCAATTGTGGCGGATGGCCAGATGGAGTGGAGCATTCCTTCTCAGTCCTCGGAAGAGAACAATATTATTATGATAATAATGACTCGGTGTCAATCGGAAAACGAGCCAGGTAAATCCTGTACATGATATTAGAGAGGTTCCGCACTACGTAAAGTTGAGCAACTTTACGTTAGTGGGCGGGAAAAACCCGTGAATTCGCGAGTTTGCACTCCACTTACGGAAAGTTGTCTACGGAGAGTACGTAGATAGGGCTCTGATAACGTAGCTGGTCCGTAAGTGGATTGGGGTACAAATTTATGACTCTCTCCCCAGGTCGATCTGGTCGTACACTGCCGTGTTCAGAGTTGCCAAGGGCAGCTACGTGATTTGAAAACTGCGTATGGCGGAACTCAGATGCGCATGAAGTTTACGTAAGACTTTCCGTAGATCGACTACGTTTTTTACTAACGTAATTACGTTATGCGGAACCTCTCTATTATCATGATGATTGTACATGTACTAGTATTGCATTTCGTACTTCTTGAAGCACAGACATCATCAGTTAAAACCAGTTTACCTTGGCAAATGATAATCTACTGATACACACAGAGTCAGAAGTACATGTGCAGTAGCTACAACTACAAAATACAAAATTAATAGTTTCTGCCATTTCAAATGCCGGTCAGCTCAAGTGAGTACCATGATCGCTGTGCGCCCGTCAATTCTCGAATCTTTTCGGTTGATAGAAACACGCGTTCACATGCACGCATGAGCACGTTGGCACACATGCACATATACACACTACGCGCAGCTGTTCCGCATTATAGAATCAGTATCTGGTGATAAGTTGAATTGGAAAATAAGCCGCCGTTACGGTTGCTTTCTCTATAATGTATGCACGTGCTAGTACAAGAGTACATAATGCTTCGAGCATACAATCCTGAACAAATTACTAGCAATGATGCGGCGTCACACTGTAACAATAAATAAATCATCGGTGGTGTACCACAAGTCTACAACTGAACATCTCTACTACAAGTATGAATATGATACTACTACATCACCTATAAAATGATACGTAAAATCCTACCCTATAGGCTATATTAGCAGTTTAGAGCTAAAAGGAGACATAATGTCATTGCTGCCCGGCCTAAACTGCCTAAAGATCTACATGGCTACATGTATAACCGTGCATGAGATGACTTTGACGTCGATGAAAATGATGCAAGCAGAGCTTCTAAATAAAACTGTAAGACTGGGGAAATGCTCTGCCACTCATAAAAAATTCTTGTTGAAAATCTAGAAATCAGGAGTGGTCATAAAATGATGCAAAATTGGAAAAGACCCCTAGAAGTACCAGTATACTATCTGCTCAGTAGAACTCTGCTTCACAGACAAGCAATACTATTATAAATGTATGTATGTGTTGGCTGATATACGTAATTATGCTAGTATGTGATATCCGGTCTCATGGCAGTGGACTAACATCTCAAGCTTTGCCTGAAAAGAAAAGGCCTCACCGGGTGCATGGCGAAGGAGGCGGCGGTGGAGGATGCCTGGGTGACATTTTCCGTGCCGATGGTGGTGAGGTTGAGTCCTGGCCATGTGCTATGCCGATGGTGGGATTGGAAGCCGGTGGCTCTGCCAGTGCAGCTGGTGACAGTGCCGGGGGTGGTGGACCTGCGTCTACTTCTACCGACACCCCATCGGCTATAGGAGCCAGATTTGGAGGCGGCATGCTCAGTTCGGCAAAGCTCGACCGATCAGGCGTGAAGCATACCGGTGTCGGCGGAGCAAAGTCCGGCGTTTCCGCAATCACTTCGCTGTTGTCAATGAGCAGCGGCTCGGGCAGACCCAGTGCGTCGCCAGATGCTTGCCTGTCGCTCACTGCAGTGCAAGCAAAGAACGAATACAGTAAAGAATGCATCTGTGTCATCACATGACTATTCCTGGTGGACACATTATTACGTATGCACTGCCATTCAGGGGTTGATGCTCAGTCACTGGCTGGTTATGTGGTGAACCTGTACCCTCATAAATTGACTCAATAACCCAGCAACTGTGAGAAGGATATTGATGCCGTTAGTAACGGACATGTTTACAATACATTGAGAAGCGTGTGTACTCTACAAACACTGCTGGCTAGTGACTCAGAGTGAGGTTTTCTTTGCAATGAAGGCACGAGCATCACATTCAGAAAATGCATGTGTCTTCACTCTTCAGCAAAGTAAGCAGCCTAGGAGCCTATTGCACTCCTCACTCGCCATAGGACTCGGTGGATAATATCGGCAGAAAAACCAGCAGAATTTGGCACTTTTCTGGTATGTTCCATGCATGTTCGGTATGTTGATAAAAACGAGGAGCAGAACTTGAGGAATTGCCCGCTATCAGCGCTGTACCGTAATTCCGCGCATATAAGCCCATGGGCCTATATCCGGATATAAACCCACCTCCGTTTATAAGCCCATGGGCTACTAAACAGACACAAATGCAACTCACGTGTCAAGTAAAAATTTTCACAAAATGGACCCTTCCTACCATAGTACAGCAGGTCAGTGCAGTTTACCAGTAGAGTATGGTAGACTGACCATGAGCACGGACTTGTACTTTTTCGTGAACCTTCAAAATTCGAATATTGGCCCATGGGCTAAAAAACGAACATGTTTTACTGGATATTTTATCCCCAAACTGCATTGTTTCACATATAAGCCCATGGGCTTATATGCGCGGAATTACGGTATGGGTCTCTTCCAATTTCACTGCTTTCGAGCAGGATCTGCCAGTTTTGGGGAGCATTATCCACCGAAGGCTACTAATCACTGAGTGATTCCAGTCTGTGAGAATCACACTGATCAGAATACTGCGCACATCCACCTACTGCATGTGTGTGTGTGTGTGTGTGTGTGTGTGTGTGTGTGTGTGTTTTAAATACTATGTGCACATCCCTACAAAGTAATGAGGGTAATGAAAGAGACAAAAGACACCCTTAGCAAACAACGGTAATGCTATTTTTTACGGTACTCGTACCTTGATCACCCAAATAGCGTTGAAGCTGCAGCGTATAAACGTTATGGGGGCTGATTTATCGTTGTGACCAACGGTACGTGTTTTGGCCAAATATTGCATAGTTCGTACGCATTTCACCTTGTATCGCGTATATGGTGACAAAAATGGTTGTACCGCGTGAAATCAAAGCTATTAGAGAGGTTTCGACCCGCGTGATTTGTTCTCTTACGTGAACGTCAATTTTTTGCGTCAACGCGAGCTCAGAAAGAGCTTTCGTTTCACGTTGCTTGTCAAGCACGTCGTTTCGCTGACGACAGGAGCGAAAACTTCAAAAAGTGAATAAAGTGATTTTTGGTGAGGCCAAAGTCGCACAAATATTAGCTAGTTTAGGCAAAATCGACAAATCGAGTCAATAATCCCAACCTGATAGCAAGGCTAAATTTGCAAAAACTCGCGTTCACGTCGAACGTGAGTTGACCTCAGCTCACGTCATGAACGGGAGTTTCGACGCCAAAATTTGCCACACCGACGTGAAATTTCACGGTGTAGTGCAGAACAACGTGAAGCGAAACCTCTCTATTCTCGTGGCAACAGCGTACTAAAAATAGCGTGCATCTTGCTAAAGGTCGAACCCGAATCACGGTATTTTCCCCCTCACGATAATAGGCCTTATGCACGTTGTACAGATGCACGAAATCCCGTAGAATCCCGTAGACCCGGTTGGGTGTTGAATGTGCAGGACCCTATTGTGTTTATTGCTATTTCCACAGCGAAATGGGCCCTGAAGGCATTTCATACGAACACTTTTTCGACAGTGATCTAGCGAGTCGTTAGTTCAAACCCAAAGTGAAGAAGCTGGAAAAGTGATTGTTCGCCACGAATTATGAGGCTAAATGGGTCAAACACGCATGTATAGCACACAATGAACACCCAACCGGGTATGTACACACCTACGGCCCTAGTACAGAACTCCATACATCTGTACAATGTGCATAAGGACTATACCGTTAGAATGTAACGTTTTTTGCTAAGGGTGTCTAAAGACAAAATACAACGCGGATTAGAAAACAAAACCAGGTGGGTGGTACTGCCAGTGTACCTCCTCCTTTTCCTATTCCTAGAATAGGAAGAGAGCTTACAGTTCTGTCTTGTGTTTGTGATCATGGTCATCCAGGTCACCTTTTCTTCTGCAGATGAAGCGTGGATGAGGTAGGTACGCTGCGTGGAGTCCTCGGATTGCAACTTGAAAGCACTGTGAAGACAACAATGGACATCACATACACACATATGCACAGACGAACACACACACACACAAACACACACACACACAAGGGACCCTTAGCAAGCTGTGAAGCGGCAACAGGAACGCGCTCATCGGAATACACGTGAAACACAAGGGGGGTTGATGATTGGCTAGCTGTTTTGCGCGAATACGTGCAAGCTTACACGTCGGCTGGTTTTCAAGTTTTCTTAAGTGTCCCAAAGTGATATTTGGAGCCAGAGCTGAGCTAGAGCACGTCACAATCAGTGCAAATTTTGTCAGCTTTCATCCCCAGTGGTGGCTTGATTTCCATTAGATTTGTTTTACAGGGAGAGGGGCTTCTAATGGAGTGAGTACGGTACCTGTACTCCGACTTAGCGTGAGCAAAAATATGTTGCGTAACTCGATGTGCTTATTATTTGCACCCGCTGTTGTCTCTGGTTTTGCTGCGTTGCCCCGTCCGGCGTCCTGTATCGTCTGATGTGCGTATGCGTATGGTAGGATGTGTGCCAGATATGGGTGTGGTGTATGCAGGTCTACGAGGTGTGGATGGCGTGATGTGTGACGAATATGGAATGTGTGGCGCATGTGGGAGCACGCGTTGTTGGAGAGCGTGAGATTCTGCTTCTGTCTGTGTGAGAGTGCTTGTCTACTAGTTGTCGCGCATGCGTAGGTTATGCAGAGCCCGTTATCCTGTTTATAACTGTTAGTCGTTTATGATGTTGTTGTCTTTTCCCCCGCTCTCTCGCCAACCATATTGTATTTAGTTGTAAGAAAAACACCAGTTATTACACAAACGAGTCAGAGAGTTGCTTTGCTGCGGGGGACGGGGGAGAAGTCCATTTCAGTGGTGCCCAACGTGGTCAGCTCGGCTTATTTGGAGTGGGGTCCGCCTCCACCACACTCCCGTCGTAAGTTTGTGAAGAGTCCATTTCAAATAGACAGCGATGAGTTTTTGTTGTGCTGCTTACTTGCTATTCTTGCTCGAAGCGGGAAAACACTTCAGAGGATGGACTGTTCTCTTTCGGCATTGTTTGGAGGAAGATTTGGCTGACAATCAGGAGTTCGTTCAGCACGACAGACTTGATCTACAAAAGTGGAGCAACGATCGGTGTGTGAACATTATCGCTTTGCTAAAGAACAGATGCATCGTCTTTACTATGCATCCTGTTTGCCCGGACGACTACGTGCTCCCAGCAGCACATGGTGGATAGGCGTGGAAGGGCTGGGAATTGTGCTTCGCCGTTTAGCCTACCCCAACACGCTTTGTGAGCTGAAGAAAGATTTCAGCCGTGGACTGGCACAGCTAGGTTGGAACCTGCTGGACAGGCATGGAAGGGCTGTGAATTGTGCTTCGCCGTTTAGCCTCGTTTTTCAACCGTGTTGTCATGGTTACACCCTGATGATTGGCCAGGGCTGAAAATTTGGTGAACCTTTTCTTTAAATATAGCTATGAATAGGATGACCTTTTTTTTAAAAAGTGACATCTGCAGCAAAGAGACTGTGTTTGCATGTTTGGACTGAGGAAACGTAATGTTATGACTGTGCGGTTTAGTTACATCCTTTTCTTGACTTGTCAGCATGTACACATGCATGGGCAGTCGACTCAAACTATGTCTTATTCCCGGCAGCCGCAAACATGCCCTCTATGCCGTGGCTAGAACTAGATCTGCCGCAGTATGTAATGAGTTCTTCAAGTAGTGAAGCAGTTGAATGGTTTGAGTGTTTAACTCGAGGAAAAGTGAAAGTCTACACTGCTATGCACGTGATTAATACCGCCAAGCAACGCCAGGCATTCGCTTTGCTGGTGGTGTGCTGTGGCAACGTGTCGAGTCGGCTGGAGAGCGCAGTTATGGTGTGATGGTTGATGAAAAGTCTCCTGATACATACTGTTAATATTTTGAACAATTCTGCCCTTTTGATCGCTTTTCAAACATTATACTGCATGTAGTAATTTGAGCATAGTTTCCTTGGAGACCAAAAACTGTAACAATTAGAAAAAGGACACGCTTCAGGTTCTTCACGCGCATGTATCATTGTTGTTTTAGCTATTCTTCCTTGCGCTCTTCTGTCACCTCTCTACTGAACTTAATCCGTTGTCCTTATTCCTTTGCCTGTATTTGAGCTGACGAGACGGCTTGAAGGTATACTCGTGAAAACTTTAAAACTGTTGTTGAAGAACCTGAGGTGTGTCGTTTCTCTAAGCGTTATAGCACAAATTGTGGATCTTGTTTGCCACACCCTATGCAGTACACATCGAGTGCGCACTGCTGTGTCTTCAAAGAAGGAAGAGTCAGCCATTGACTTACTGTGATTTATCCAGCTGAGGAGCATCCACGCAGCTGTACAGTGTCAGGGGTATTGCACCCAGGATTTCCGTATCCTGCACAAACAGCAAGTCCAAAGCAAAGAGGAGCTTTGAAAGCAAGGCTTGGACCTTGGAATGTAGTGCACTTGAGAAAATGAATGCCGCCACACCACCTGCTGCTGGTATTCATGCATTCCTAAACCGCTCTGTGTAGAATTCTCCAATGATACCTCCGTTGCGAAAGGGGAAACAGTACCGTACTACCTTGAAGAAAGGGATTGTAAAATCATGTATCTTGTTTGTCGGCCATTTCGTGGCTAATTTATGGCTCTTGATTAGTAGCACCAATGCGTTTCACTTACATTCTTTTCCTTGGCGTAACAGAGGTAGGACTGTACCAGAATGAACCATCTTCTCTTCCAAGACCTCACTGATCCACCTGCATGTACGCCGTGCAATCACGGACACAAGCATAAGAGCAATAGCAGTAACAGCAACGACGACGCATAGATAAATTCCACCCATGCATAGACTGCGCACATATAATCAAGCGTGATGCCACCCACCTGCAGACATTGCTCAGGACAAATGGAATCCTCTGCGGATCTAAAAACAGTGCACTGCCCATTTCGTCCTGCAGATTTGTGCACATCTTGTACACACTTTGACTTTGTCATTGTGCGGCTAGTCTCATGGCAAGCACTCTGATATTGTCCAAACACCTGTCTTGGGTGGGTCCACTTTTTTTTTCGAAATAAGGTCCGCCATGGCCTGACCGGCCGGACCGGGTGGTACAACCCTGCACCACAAAGTGGGTTTCCAATACTGATCATCCCTGCATCCTGGACCTTGGTGAAATCCTGCCCGGGCCGGAATTGTGCATACAGTAAAACCTAAAACCTGTAATGGCGACCACTCGGATATGGCGACCCTCGGATATGGCGACCCTCGGATATGGCGACCCTCGGATATGGCCACCACTCGACCATGGCGACCACTTTTCCTTGTCACGGACGCATTCACATTCAAAACACCTCGGATAAGGCGACCACTCGCTCAACGCGACCGGCGACCACCCACCCGCGACCGCGTTGCACAGTGCTAGTCATGTAAATGTATGCACCAGGCATGGTAGATCTACACATCAGTGCAAGAAGTGTAGATGTACATGGTGCATGCACGACATTTGACAGGTCTGAGGACCCCAGGCACATGAGTCGTGCTAGAGTAGCATAATGGTGTGTGCACTGTGATACACTGATCAAAATGATGTATCACATGTGGATATGGTCACGTGACCCACTGAACCTGGATAAGAAGACCACCTGGCCGCGGCGACCACTTTTTCTCGTCCCTTGAGGGGTCGCCTTAGACAGGTTTCACTGTAGATACCTTTACATGGACTTACCACACTTCGTAAGCCATCCATCTTGAAGCACTTCGGAGTTTCGAATGTGCTCGAGACATTCAGCTGCGACAACATAATAAAAGCAGTGCGTCAATGGAGCGAGAGGGAGAGGAAGCCGTAGACAAGGACAAAGCTGGAGAATAATTAATCTATAAATCATATGAGGTTAAGTAGTGAGAGCATAGCTAGCGACAAGCCAGCTAGCTCGACCATTGGCTCATCACCTTCCCTCAAAGTGCAAATGGCAAGAATCCGTACTCGTGGAGAACATTTCGGAACACATCCATCTCGTGAAATGCTAGCTTGAAACGGCCATAATATGATGCATTTACGGTCAGCAATCATCGTGTAATGCCTGCAGTATGTCGTACCTTCAGCAGTCGACACTTGCTTCTTCTTGTGCTTGCTTAGGACTGCGGAAACAGATTGCACACACGGCGAATGACCGGGAAGAGAAGAACGGAAAGCAGATGATGCATAAGGGCATTATGCATGTGATAGGAGATCCTCTACCGTGATGTCTATCGCCGTCGATCTTCTACTCACTGCCTACTGCGAGGTCGATGATGGCGCTTCCTGCCCTTCGCACCAAAGGGGATGAGGACATGTCACGATCACCTTCATTTTCGATATGGAGGGAACCGCGCCTCGAAGAAGCACCGGATTTCGGTTCGTCCGGATGTTGGGGCATCTTTCAACAGTATGCTTTGCTGGGCTTCCCCTGCTTCAATGCTAAACTGACCCGTCGGCGTGTGTTCATCCACAAGTAGAACAAAGTAGCTAAATTTTTTATCACTCGAGTACGAAACTGAAGTTGCGCCTTTGGCCAACGGATCAGAAACAAGACAGTACAAGTGTGTGAGTATGAATATTCGAATGTGAAGAAGACACGATGGCTCAGGAGAGACGACACTTCCAACTTCAAGGCTTCAACTAACTTCAAGCCGGGCCCCCCGGCCCCAAACAGCGCGGATGATCTGTATTCTGGTACTCCATCACCAAATACCAGGACCTGAGGTCAAAGGTCACACTATCCACTATAAAAGGACCGAACCTCCGCCTAGCGCCTGTGTAGGCTGTAGCTGTGGCCACACGTCTGAGTGTCTGTGAGAAATGCAGTCATCCAGGCCTGCATTCACACTTTTCATTCAGCTATTCAGAGCTTTTTGCAGCTGGTAGATAGATGGTGTCGATGGCGCGAGCTCGCGAGTACACACTTTAGGCTTTAGCTGTTCGATCCATGTCTCAAGAAAAAAAGAAAATTGTTGCATCAATATACATTAAAATTGTGTTGTAAGTTGTATTTTATCGCTTCTCAAACGGGGGAAACTGCGAGCTCAAGTTCCGCGTAGGGCCATAGGGAGTGACTCACACTTCCTCTAGGGTCCGGCGGATTCTGCCGGCAGAAAAATTGGCAGAATTCGGTACTTTTTCGGGTAAGTTTCATGCATGTTTGGTATGTGGATAAAGAAATAGAGCAGAATTCGAGGAGTTGCCCGCCATAAGGTTTGTGTGGTTCTGCCAATTTCACTTCTTTTCGAGCAGAATCTGCCACCTTTTCGAGCAGAATCCGCCGGTCCCTAACTTCCTCTACTATCGCGCAAGTTGGTTGGTTGGTATATTTTATTTTACTTCGCCAGAATGAACAGGCATTGCTGCCTTCTTGCCTGGACAAGTGGATTGTCCAAGCTCTCACAAAAAGACGAAAAAAGGAAAGAAATATTACATGAGAGTGTGAAGCATGCAATCTTATAAGAGAAAATTCCATGAGAGTGTGACGCATGCATGATGAGAGAGGAGAGATAGATTCGAGATAGAGAGAGATAGAGATAGATAGATAGATAGATAGAGAGATGAGAGAGAGAGAGAGAGAGAGAGAGAGAGAGAGAGAGAGAGAGAGAGAGAGCGAGAGAGAGAGAGAGAGAGAGAGAGAGAGAGAGAGAGAGAGAGAGAGAGAGAGAGAGAGAGAGAGAGAGAGAGAGAGAGAGAGAGAGAGAGAGAGAGAGAGAGAGAGAGAGAGGGAGAGAGAAAGAGATAGATAGAGAGAGAGACTGCTTTATTGCCTGGACAAGTGAATTATCCAAGCTCTTACAAAATGACCAACAACAACAGCAACGGCAACAACAACAGCAACAGCGACAGCAAAAACAACAACAACGGCAACAACACAGCAGCAACAACAAGAGAGAGAGAGAGAGAGAGAGAGAGAGAGAGAGAGAGAGAGAGAGAGAGAGAGAGAGAGAGAGAGAGAGAGAGAGAGAGAGAGAGAGAGAGAGAGAGAGAGAGAGAGAGAGAGAGAGAGAGAGAGAGAGAGAGAGAGAGAGAGAGAGAGAGAGAGAGAGAGAGAGAGCGAGAGAAAGAGGAGAGAGACGGCTTTACTACCTGGACAAGGTAATTGTACAAGCTGTCACAAAATGACCAACAGCAACAACAACGACAGCAGCAGCAGCAGCAGCAACAACAACAACAACAACAACAATTAACAACAACAACAACAACAGCAACAGCAACAGCAACAGCAACAGCAACAGCAACAGCAACAGCAACAGCAACAGCAACAGCAACAGCAACAGCAACAGCAACAACAACAACAACAACAACAACAACAACAACAACAACAACAACAACAACAACAACAACAACAACAACAACAACAACAACAACATAATGACGACAGGCAGGGAAGAGGAATATCAAAGCGCACAAGAAACACTATTCAGTCATAACTCAGTGGCATTGATATGAGCATTGCCAGCGCCGTGCCCCTCAATCTAGTCTAGGCTCTAGCCTAGGCCAGGGCCGAGCAGATCTACTAGTACTAGTAGGCTCTAGGCTCTTAGCCTCTTGTCGAGTGATGGAGCTCCGGACTCGCGGTGGAGGTTGATCCGTGCCAGACTTCGAGGCGGAACTGAACAGCTGGCTGGCTGGACAGATTTGCACGGAGTCTGTTCAAACGTGTGCTGCATCGTACTTGTAAAATCAAGCTGATGTTTCACGACTGCTACAGTACTACTAGCAAGGCAGCTAGAAATAGGTAGACATGGTATAGCTCTTTGCTGATGAGCCCTTACCCCCCCCCCCCCCCCCCTTACCTTCTCGGTATGACAGACTGTACTCAGTAGTCATGGTATTAGCAGGGAGTAGTAAAATACATACTACTCCCTGGTATTAGTGATACTTCTACCATAAGTAGGGTCCAGCGGATAATGCCCGCATTATATTCGGCATTACTAGTATACGACTATCCGAGCATCAGAGCATTATAAAGGTAAAAAAGTAAATTATCGTATCCGTTCCCGAAGGGAACTCACGACGGCCGCTAACACCCGATTATCGGATAAACCCTAGCGGCAGATGCAGCGCCTAACGGTGGGGGTGAGTGGGTAAGTCTCACAACCACTGGCACAAGTGCCGAAAACGACCCCATTAGCTGCATCCATGTACCCCTTGTGCCTGGCCACAAGTTCCCAGTTGACTGTGGGTAGCAGCACGGCTGGAAAAACCGCTCCCAGGCAGGACTTGAACCAGGTACATGTACCTCTTTTTTTTTTTTTTTTTTTCAGGCTGAAAAACCTCTTTTACGGGCCAATAAAAAATAAAAAATCCAATCTGAAGAGCAATGTCAATAAAGCCGCTTATAACGCTAAAAATCAAAACAATTCAGGAAAATTCAATTCAATTCAAAGTCGTGACACATCCGGTAAAAAACAGCAAGAAATAATATCTCGGTGCAAAAGAAGAAAAAAGGAAATAAAAAGCCGCTTCATTTTAAAGGACCAAATGAAGAAAAGCAAAGAAATACCCACATCAGCGCTAAATTGCACCTTAAATTATAAACAAAAACATGACGCGTCCATTAGCATTGAGGACACTGCCATTAGCGAGGTTATACACACCACTGTTACATCCGTCCCTCAGCCATGGCTAGTGGGCGCAATGCATTTACCGGTCGATGGTATGCAGAGCGAGCCCCTCTGATGCACATAACTGCAGCTCGGAGGAGTGCAAACGACAGACGGCATCTGACATAGGCCATAACCTCGCCGTAGGGCTTGCCATCATGCTGTGCCAGCATAGCGCATAATCGCTTCAAAAACCGCAAGCATTCTGGGGATGCACTGCCAGCCGTGGTGAAGACAAGCGGGGTAAAGTCACCACGGTCAACATTGACAATCCTTTCGCCATACTGCAGCTTCTTCTGCCTCTCGTGCTGGAGAAGGAGGTCAGCGATGGGCTTCTTTGCGTACGAGGCGGCGTCAGGATGAAAGACTCGAATGTCAAGGAAAGTGTTCTGTGCCCTTGTCCAAAACCCACGTATGCGGACGTCAGATCGGGCATCATGTGCCGTGTTGGTGCTGGCAGCTCTGAAGACTTCGCCCTCCAGCGGCGCGAGCAATGGCTCCACAGACACGTCAGGGCACACCTCCGTGACTAAGTCCGCTATCATGTCTCGTACCTCATTATGTCTAATGGTAGGGAAGCCCCCGGTTGAGCAGCACATCGCATGAGCCGCGGTGAAATCCTGGCCACACACGCATTTCTCCGGGACATCCCTCAGAGGCCATCCGTACCTCAGCGCAATGGCATCGCGGAAGTCGCACTTGGACAGACTGAAGCCGTGCTCACGCAGCGGAAGGGTGTGGAGCCAGCTCGATACACCCTTGGCCGAAAGGTGTTCCAACTGGCGGGCGGCAAGCGGAGTAAGTGTTTCCTTGGCGCTCATATACCGCTGTTCGTCATGTTTTAGCCGTTCCGCCAGAGCTGCTGACTTGGCTCGCTGGGCTGAATGAATTGCATGCTCTATCGATATCGAGGGCCTGGACCGGTCATTCTGGTCGAGTATCTCCAGTGGTACATGTACCTCTCGTATCTCATTCATGGTCTTTGACCAACCCACTGTGCCTGCCTGGTGCATTATGGAGCATTAGAAAGGAACAAAACGAGCATTATGTGAGGTTTGAGCGGCATAACGAGTTTCATAGTGGATAATATAGGGAAATCCCAGGTTTTTGGCAACAATCGGCTACAATCATGATCATGAGATGTCTGATGATTGGTTTTTGCCATGAAACTCTGAGTAACAACGAAACAGCCCTATTTTACTCCTTTTGTGTACCTATTGCGTACTTCTCACCGCCCTTTCCGGGCATTTGAGCACTATGCATTGTACCGGTGCATGACTTTGTGATTGTGTAGACACGTAACACCTTAAGCACTATTAAACGCTACATAACTATTGCTACATAAAAACGTTATGATTGTAGCGATGTGGTCAGGTAAATGTATACAAGCCATTTGTGAAGCATGCCCAACCGAGGCCGAGGCAGTTCAAGTGACACAAATCCGGAGAAATTATTTACGAGGTGTCTTTTACTTTTAGAATAATGGAGAGCTAGCTAGCTATGGAGGAGACATACGCAAAGTGAATATCAAACAGACGAAGAAGAGTTTTCTAGTCGTGCCAGAGGCTCTGGCGCTAGCATCTCTAGCAATACTGACGTAAACACTGATGCATTGCTAAATTTAGACCAGGATGAAGGAGCGGCTATAAACAGAAAGAGCTCGTTCCAAAAGAACTGCCCTTGCCGAGTTCAGCTCAGGAGGCTCGAAAAGAACTAGAATTTCTCATGGACTCAGTACCAAGTCGATTGCTCAGCAGCGCCTCTCTTACTTTCCTGATGAAGCACGTACAGTTAGTTGTTGACGGTAGTAATGCCAGGCCTACAGTTAAATTAATGCTATCAGAAAGGAGGAGTATAGTGGCAAGCCATACGTCTACACACCATCTCAAGGAGAAGATGAGAGCACAAGCAAAGGATGTAGAGTGGCAAAATAACGTCTGACCACGTGTTTTCAGGATTTCCGCAAATGGGAGGGCTCTCCATCTGAGATCGGATCTCAGGAGCTGGCCTCATGTCTGGTGTTTCAGATGAAGACATTATTCACAGAGTGGACGCAGTGACAGCTTGTCTGCAGGCAGGAATACTATTTGCCAAGATTAACTTCATCCCAACAATGAATGACTACCTGCAATAATGGTTTCATCTCTCACTACATGGATAATTAGGGGAAAGATTTGATACACCGACTATTCTGCCACAACCTTACATCAAAGTTGGAATGGAGAGCAATCAATGGAGAAGCGATCATGTCTTATAGTGCCAAAAAGTGGTGGAGCTCGTGAGAGATAAGGTGGCAGCTTCAGATGCAGATCGACGATATGCGTAATTTCCTGGAAGTTTGACAATGTGCAGACTTTCTTCCATTTTTGTACCAAATGAAGAGCATTATATCCCTTGCCGAAGCATTATAATCAGCATTTTAAGGCCGTTTTTGGAGCATTATGGTTAGGATTATACGAACATTTTCGGAGCGTTATCCGCTGGACCCTAACCATAAGCCTTGTAGGTCTACTATGTTAGAATAGACATGGTTAGCATTTTACCGTTCACGCTATTTTGACGGTCGGCGAGTCTACTGTTTTTGATGTGTTTTCGAGACACGGTTAGCAGTTCAGCTTCTGAGTCCTGACTCCTGACGCAACGATAGACGTGTGAGGTAACCCTAGTTGGAATCTTACCGTTTCGTTCTCCCGCTAAAAGAGCTTTCTATCGTCGAAACGGTACCAAACCGACGGTATTTTGGGTTTGGGGTACGAGTGCCGTTACGTTGTATCTAGCGCGTGAACTGTAAAATGCCATGTCTACACACACAAAAAAGGGTGCAGGGCGACCGTCGAAAATAGCGTGAACGGTAAAATGCTAACCATGTTATGATACCACACGTTCCACACGTAACCGAGCTGAGGTGGGGTGGAACGGGAAACTCTAGACTACGTGTGGTAATATACTAATAAGGCCACCTAGAATTAATTCGTTGTTTCGGGTCACTTCACTCATCCGTACCAGGGTCGGTCGGTCGGGTTTATTTTTTATTTTATTTTATTTTTTATTTTGGTTACGTCCATGTGCATACATGTACATCGAATAGCTTTTGTCCATCTAGCCAGTCGATCAAATCTGACTGTAGTGTAGCCAATCCAGCGCAGTCATCTGGTCATGGTCCCATCAGATCCAGGACCAGGTCCCCTCCATGATCCAGGACCAGATCTTGGCCTCGCTGGCAAACGAGTCTGACGAGCAGCTCTCACCTTGAAAACTTCTGTAAATAGCGACAAGGTGGCGGAGCTGATGCTGTTTCAGGACGGATCGGAGATAGAAGACAACGTCATCACCAAGCACCTGTCATTTGGCTAGCCATGACCATTGATGACTGCTTCTGAGGGCGATATCTAGACTGCTATTATTAGGGTCGCGTGTGTACATAGTCTAGTCTGTACATTTGCATCCACTATTAAAAAAAAACATTTTGCGGTCGGGTGAAAAAAGACGGTCGGTCGGGTGATCCGAAACAACGAATTAATTCTGGGTGGCCTAATAATATTAAAGGGGAAGTATACCCTAAAATCAAATTTTCACCAGTTGTAGTCTTCTGGGTGCTGAGTCGAATGGTCTTGGTCCGAGGAAGCTGCGACGCTCCCTTCCTACTTGAATCCCAATCGAACTCGCGCACTTCCACCGAAACTGGGTGACTGCGCCCTACTAGATGGGGATTTGTATGCAAAATGTCACATGGGGATTTGTATGCAAAATGTCACTAAAAGCGCCATTTCGTTCTTATAAAAGCACGGATGACCGCGATTGGCCCATATGTTGTAGTCTTTTGGACGCTGAGTCGACTGGTTTTGGTCCGAAAAGGCTGCGATGCAGCGTTCCTCCTTTATTCCCAATCGAACATGGTTGAACAAGCGGTCACGTGCTCCTGGGTGCCCAAATCACCTGGTCACCGCGCCAGCAGGTGACAACTTTCACACCAAGGTTCAACTCGAGTTCAACTCGAGTGACAGGACTGCACCCAAAAAAGGTCAAACAGGCTAGTAAGTTGTACCCTGCAGGCACGGTGACCAGGTGACTGGCGTACGCAGGAGCACGTGACCGCTTGTTCAACCATGTTCGATTGGGAATAAAGGAGGAACGCTGCATCACAGCCTTTTCGGACCAAAACCAGTCGACTCAGCGTCCAAAAGACTACAACATATGGGCCAATCGCGGTCATCCGTGCTTTTATAAGAACGAAATGGCGCTTTTAGTGACATTTTGCATACAAATCCCCATCTAGTAGGGCGCAGTCACCCAGTTTCGGTGGAAGTGCGCGAGTTCGATTGGGATTCAAGTAGGAAGGGAGCGTCGCAGCTTCCTCGGACCAAGACCATTCGACTCAGCACCCAGAAGACTACAACTGGTGAAAATTTGATTTTAGGGTATACTTCCCCTTTAATATAACTATTACTTAGGCCAAACTAAAGAAGGTGTGTGGTTCGACTAACATGGACATTTTTTTAACGGGCGGGCGGGCGGATTTTTTTTTTTTTAATATATATTTTTAGTACATGTAAATACACTGTATACGCGTATCGAGTAGACTCTACTACCAGCACAAGGCAGCAGTCGTACCACTCACTGCACTGCACTGCAGTACAACTACAAGTCAAGTCCAAAAGGAGCCGCCTGCGTCCGCAGACTCACGCCGCACAGCACGTAGACGTGGACGTGTTCAGTCCACGTACGTCAGTCACACGACAGCCCGCCGAAAAAAAGTTACGGTCGGGCTGAAATTGTACGGTCGGTCGGGTGAGTCGAACCACACACCTTCTTTAGTTTGGCCTTATAAGACAAAATTAATAATTATTATAGATGATAGATCTTTTTTTTTTAATCAGTTGTCTGAAGATTGCTATATGGCATGAAACTTTAAGTTACGACAATCAAGACGCGTGGTTTTCCTGTGACTCGTGTGTTACTGCTCTGCTTCCGCATTGAGCACTCTAGCTATCGATCCGGAGGACTCCGCTATTTGTAGATGATAGATCTACAGACAGTCCACGTAACGTCGTTCAACAACGCGGTAGATCTGCTCAATCATGTAGATCTACATGTGCGGCGCTTGTCGGAGGGCTCATAACAAGTCATGAAGCCCGACGTGCATCCTATGTCGGCTACGATTCTCCGTCAGTCGCTGCGTCACTGGCGCATTACCGACATCGGATCGATGGAGGATACTGGATTTTCGGTGGCTTCCACTAATAGTTATGATACAGATGACTGAGTATGATGACTGTATTATTTTGAAGCTTCCGCCTATTTCTGGACTGTGGCAAAACGAGGTAGATCTACTAGTACTTAGTACTTAGTAGTACTAACTACTATTATTAGTCAAAGGCGGAGAGACCTACAGCCTACAGGCATCTGGCGCTGGACGAAAATGCGAAGAAACCATTGAAGAATGGCTATTGCATGTCGAAGAACGAAGTTGACCTCGGCTCAAACGTCAGGACGGATCCGCTACAGCCTGTTTCTGTTGCATGTGGCACAGGAAGTACGACGTACTAGTATGGTTCGCAGACGCTGGTAGCTCCAGAAAATAACCTTGCCCTGGGGCAGGCCTCCTTGGTGAGACCGCCATGCTACACCAAGTCGTGTTTTCCTCCGGGCAGTGCCGCTGTCTCCAACCCGGCAACTTGTTCGTGCTGTATTCACCAGGCCGGACGAAGAGAGCCAAGGGAAATAATTTTGATGTCGACGAGTTGCCGTGCTTATGTCTCTCTCTACTTCGTGAAAAAGGGGTCGACGCAGCTGGTAGCATTGTTATTCGGTGACCGTACTGTCGGAGGCCGAAGCCGTAAGATTTGGACCAGTGCGGCCAACCGGCAAGCTTTCGCTTATGCAGTGGTGATCGATCTTCAATGCGCGTTTCTTGAACGAGTGCAATGCTGATGCGATCCGGTGCGAACCGAACAAGAATGAAGAAGTGCAGGCTGCTAGCTGGGACGGTACCAGTGTCGGGGTCGTGTGTGCAGCTACTGTTGTTGCTGCTGCTGCAAGTTTTGTCCATGTTTACATATGGCTGTTCAAGTAGCCCATCTCCGGTTCTGATTGAGGTCTCACCACTGATTACCCTGCAAACCACTTCCCTCAACCAAAACGCTGCGAAGAGTGGAAATCTACAACTACTGGAATCAGTGGAGGACTTGTGCGGCTCAAGAAGAGCTCAGTGCGGCAGCCTACATGCTGCGGTGCAGACTGCACACGCACTTCGCTACAGTCCTGGAGCCTACAGCCTCTATACTGGCCAAGGCAGTGGTAACGCACACTCTGTGGTGAGGTTGAACGATACTGTAGCCATACACATTGTGCTGATGGCCGACGCACGACTATCCGACTGCCGTATACTGGCCAGCCCGCCCATAGTAGACCCTCTGGGCAATCGTCATGGTTACTATGCCTCTGCAGTTCATATCAGTGTATCCAACCTAGTGATCAGGTTGTCTGGGCAACACAGTGGTGATTGCAGTCATGCCAAGCTGTACTGGTTCCCAAACTCTTTGATGATGGGAACTCCCGGTGCCGAATCCGCTCGCCGGTTGATCAGCATTCAGAGCACGTCGGTTATAGTCTTGGAGCGAGTGGCGATCCTCGAACACTCCGCACCAATATATAAGCCTTCAGTGCTTATTGACGTCCACGATTCAACTGCAATCCTCTTTCATAACGTTCTCGTACATTTGCCATCACCCTACAGGACGGCTATCCGCGTACAGCGCTCCAGACAGGTCAACTTCATAAACTGTACGGTGACAGGGTCAAGGCTGAATAATACTCCCTACTTTAGTATTTTTGAAGACAGAAACACTTCGGTGGCCGTGAACATTTCGGTGAGTGGAGAAAGTAGCAGAGAATCACTGTCTCCTGTGGAAGAGCGCGCTCTCCGTCACTGGCTGAAGCTAATCTCCTGCTCAGCATTGCCAGCAGCGAGGAGTAGGTCTTCCTGGAAAGATGCTCAGACCATCATATTCTGTAACTGTACATTTGAGCACCTGGGCGAAGGCAGGGCCACCAGCAATCAGAGAACGGCTTCAATATCTGCGACTCGTGCCATTGGCGTAGCGATCAACCTTAACATGGATGGTGCCATTGGCCAGTCAGTGCTCATAGAAGGGTGCACGTTCCACGATAATATCACTCCTTTCGGAAGCGCCCTGGTCCTCCAATTTCCTGCCAAGGGTGGTGATGCTGCAGTGAACTGCACTATGAACGTGACAAGGTGTGAATTTACAGGGAATGTTGGAACGTACGGCAGCGCAGTTTTGGCAATCTTGCGTGGCAAGAGCAGAAACAACACATTGTCAATCACCGACAGCGAGTTCAGGGGAAATACAGCTGATTTCGATGGATCTGGCTTTGCAGTGTTCTTCCGTTTTGACAACTCCGAGCGGCGTAACAAGGTGTATTTGACCAGGGACACGTTTGTTGACAACCGTGCTAGAACACTGGGCTGCAGAACACCAGGTAGTGCTGTACTCGTGCGATCAACTGACGGCTCGCCGGAAATTTTGCACAAGAAGAAAATGATTGCAAAGGACGTGTTTGTGTCAGTACACATGCATGCCTGTACACTGTCAGGTAATGGAGGGAATGCAGCACTGTATATCATCGGTACCACAGTGGAAACGGGAGGCGTAATGTAAGTGTGACTCTGATCTGTGTAGCTGCGCGTGTAGCAAACTGCATCACTTGATTGACATGCCTACTTGCAAATGTTTGCACTGCCAATTTGGCACTGGAAGCTAGCGTCAGTGGAGCCAAGATGTGAGTTAACCACAAATAACCAATATAATGGTGTATTGCTTTGCGGTTGTATGGTGACTAGTTTCTAGCACGCCAGAAACGATGCAATTCAGTCAATTGCATGCCAAACCGTGAGTGTACGGATTGCTCACTTTGAACGTATCCGGTACTACTCCCCGACTCCTTGGCTCACAGCCTATGGGAGTGGGTAATGATATGGCCGAGTGAGACTTAAATCGTAGCATGGTGGTACTATGTGTTCAGAGCACTCCCGAAAAAAGGTGTGTGTGTGTGTGTGCGTGTGCGTGTGCGTGTGTGTGTGTGTGTGTGTGTGTGTGTGTGTGTGTGTGTGTGTGTGTGGAGAGATTGCGGGTTCGATTCCCGCTAATTATGGTCACACATGCCTTTCTTCTCTTTCTCAGACTCCTCCTGACTTTTCTTTCATTCTCCTGGGTGGTTACCAACAGCCAGTGCATGCCGGAGTATGTGGTGTGATGTGTGTGCGGGACAAATGAAAAGGCCAAAAGGTAGGGATTCACTGGCCAGAAAAGCCACTTCATAGCAGTCTGGTGTAGACCAGGCTGAATAATGGCAGTCAATTCTTCAGCCTTGCAAGCTGTTGAATGGTACAATCCCAGCACAAATTGCTATGGCTTCTGGTGATGGGCGTCAAAAGATCAAAGGTCGAAAGGTGTGTGCGTGCATGTATGGGTGATTTGTATGTGTTTGTGCATACATGCATGCACATGCTTATATCTGCATGTCTACGTGTCTGTCTGCCTGGCTGTCTGCCTGGCTGTCTGCCTGGCTGGCTGGGTGGCTGGGTGGCTGGCTGGCTGGCTGTCTGCCTGGCTGTCTGCCTGGCTGGCTGGGTGGCTGGCTGGCTGGCTGGCTGGGTGGCTGGCTGGCTGGGTGGCTAGGTGGCTGGGTGGGTGGCTGGGTGGCTGGATGGCTGGCTGGCTGGGTGGCTGGATCCTCTTTCCTTCTCTGTGCCTATAGGGTTATCACAAGGAATTCAATTGGCGGTGTGATGCTCTCCCGGTCCTATTTGAGGATTACGGGTTCCATGTCAATCACGAACAACACAGGCTTTGAGGGTGGTGGCATTCACTTGGCCTTGTTCTCCATCGTTGATGCTCGTCTTGTAAGTGCTGGTAGTTGTTGCTGTTTAGAGGTAGGGCAAGGGGGGGGGGGGGGGGTGCAGCAAGTTTGTGACAAGCGTAAATGGTAAAATTCGCACATTCCTGCTACCATTAACACCTGCAACTTTAGGAACTTGAATTGAGCAGATTGTTGACATCCTCCCACTGGCGGCGGGTGGACGGTGTACCATGGTTATGCTTTTGTGTGCTAAAGGCTGACCATTTCATTGTGTCAGGCAACTCGGCCGTACGGAATGGTGACGGATTGTTCGCTGGCGAGACTACAAGTTCAGCAACCCAGGGCCGAATCCTGCTAGAACGGGGCCGAAAACGCAGCGCGAGCAGCGCCTTCTGTCCAGTGCTTTTTCCCAACAATGCTCAAGTCAGAAACGAATCAATTTGGGTAAGTCACTGATTCTACATGGCCAGTTCCAATTATTATTGTTATTCACAGTTTGACAGTGGGGGGCTGCATCCCACCCGCCTGTGTGGATACACAGGAAGTGTGAGTTTTGAAGGCTGAAGAAAATGTTAAACGGTCTCTGCTTGGATGACAGCTGCACCATAGCTCAGTGGTTAGAGCATCGCTGGCCTCAAGCGAAGGTCTCTGCCTGATTCGAGTCCTGGTGGTGACAGTAATCTTTTTCTTCAGACTTTTCCCGTTTGCATCTTACCCTCAAACCAATGAATATTCCCAGTTTTTTCACACATATCCGCCAGATGAGTATGTGTCGCCAAGGAAACATAGGGATTCATGAATACAGACCAGCATAAGATGTTCCCTCAGTTTCAATTGCAAACTGCCCAAATCACGTTATTGATCTACATCACGGTAAGGCATCTGCTAGTCTCAAATCTGGTAGAAGTGGCTCCAATAGACATGCATGATGGAGGCAAAGTGCTTGTGAGTTAAGGTGAATAGTGCGAGCACTCTGATTAATTATTTCTCGTCGTCGTCGTTGTTGTCATCATCGTCCTTATTAATGCTGTTTTCGTTTTTGTTGCCTTTATAATTTTTTTTAACGCTAATCACTAGAACAGGCCTAACCTTATTTCATTGATTCGGAGATCTATTGAATTGGAGAATGAAGCCTGCATGTCAACTTTTCTCTGATATCTTCTCACACTTACCAAAGTTCCGCGGCATCTTAAACACTAAGCAAATAATATAATAAAAATTATTATCGATGAAGGCAAAGTGAGCGCACTCATACCGTGAGAACAATGGAGCAATATTTTAGGATTTGAACGTCGTTTTCATGTGTCAGAAATCGTTATCACACTGAGAGTTGGACTACAAAGGAAAAGATACTGTTGGTACACTGTGTACCATAAAGTGAACATTACTAGATGTAAAACTACCGTATTTTTCGGAGTATAGTGCGCACCTTTGTATAACGCGCACCCCGAATCTCCATTGGGGGTGCGCACTTCAATCTTCATTGAAGTACATGCATTTCATATTCGGAGCATAGTGCGCACCTGCGATTTAGGGCCTAACTGAATAGCACATCTAAAGTGCGCACTATACTCCGGAAAATACGGTAATACACGAAACACCGATATTCTAAAGCTAGCACTATTGAAGGCGTTATTGTGGCATGCAATGATTTCTGATGACTATCACATGAAAACGACGTTCAAATCTTAAAATATTGTTCCATTGTTCTCGTGGTATGAGTGTGCTCATTCTCCTATCTGAATATAATCAAGACAAGAAGTAGGTCATTGTTCAATAGCAAATGTGGAAGGACTGAAAGTCGGTGGTATCTTGTGTAGCACGGGTATCCTGCACCTGCATGCATGCTTAATTCTGCATGTCTACAGTGAAACCTGAAAATTTCGGAGATTTTTCCGTAACTTCGCCGTAGAGGTAATTTTACCTAAAATAAAACGCAACCTAAAATTCAACAATGCCATGCCTCACAGTGTGCAAAATGCATTTTTGGATCTGGAAAACTGCTTGACCGGAATTTTCGCGCTACCAAACCTTTGATTTTGGGAAATAATGAAAATATTACACCACGGAAAATCCCAGTTTTACAGTAAAATTGTTCTTCTGGCCTGTTTGTTTTCTAGTCGGTACTATTTGGGAACATGTCTCCAAGATCGTCACCGTTCAAGGTGTCAGCAGTGTTCATGGCGTCGTTGATGCACTGCTTTGACGTGTTCAAGCCTTACTTGAGCAAGGTGTTTGGCAATGGCCGTGGCAGTGGGTTTGCACAGCTGTGCTACTGTCCACCCTATGTCCCTGCCGCCTGGGAGAACTATGGCGCTATTGGAAAGCGAAACGAGAACATCACATCAGGTGGGTCCAGTCTAGATTTAGTTTCTGCTCCTGTTTACTCACCCCGACCGTTAGGTGCTGCATGTCACAGTGCTGCCGGATCGTTCTGGGTGACAGTGGCTGTTGTCTTGGCCTGTCAAAATCCAAAGAAATTTCACAATCGTCATGGCATGTGATATACATGTACGTACATACTCGAAGTAGACAAAAAGATGTAAGAGGTAGGAGATGGTAAACAGCTGTGTTGCATGCAATACTTTGTTTGAATGAACTAAGCACCCTACACTGAGTTGTTGACTCTGGACTAGCAACATTTCATACTTGGCACGCCGTCCACGACTCAGCGGCATAAATGTACTTACAAGTATTTGCACTGACTCCCCGACAATATGTGGCTTGTTATAAACAAAAACAGTTTGCTACAAATTGTCAGGTTTATATGGGTTATATGGGTTAAACTGTCATTCGCACCTTTTAATCTTATGCCATGATGCAATCTTTCACGACTACTGTCATTTACACTTTTGCTTTGCGGGGATATAGACCAGTATCCAGATTTCTTCATTATCGTTTTCTGATGATTGCTTAGTGCGTGAAACTTGGAGCAAAAGCACTTTTTCATCCTCCTAATACAGTATGGGTTAAAGAGATGTGGGATATGGCGGATTTCGTGATGTGAAGGACCATGGTCTATGTCTATAGAGCATAGTTGTTCACATGGCGAAACCCACCACATTCGAGTTTGTTACAAGCAGAGTCGGCAGAGCCTGGTTGGTGCTGTTCTATTGTCCGAGCCTATTGCCGATCTCCCGTCTCTTTAGATTTGAAACACGATGTCAGTGTAGTGTATCCATACATCTTCACTCTCCAAACGGTCTCTGGGCTACACCAATCACTAAAAGAAAAAAGAGATATTAAATTTGAAACTCGGATGTTGAGCCATAAATAAATGTAGAAGATAAAAGGACATATGGATACGAGTTAAGAGTAACTCTCCATCACTGTAACATGATACTATATACAGTCAGAAAGTGCAATAACTAGGCACAAAACTGACAGAGTACTGAGACATTCGACGTCCTGACACCTAGCTTCAACACATCTCCGTAGCGCTAACCGACAGCCTTCCAACTCGGAAGGTTCAAGGTTATGGAAAGACCAAAGAGGGGAAGGCAAGCGCAACGAAAACGAGCAAAAGCTACAGTCCCAACGGAACAAAGAATGTCGATTGTTACTGGACGATGACGAGACCAGTACGATATTTGTTCCGTTGGGACTGTAGCTTTTGCTCGTTTTCGTTGCGCTTGCCTTCCCCTCTTTGGTCTTTCCATAACCTTGAACCTTCCAAGTTGGAAGGCTGTCGGTTAGCGCTACGGAGATGTGTTGAAGCTAGGTGTCAGGACGTCGAATGTCTCAGTACTCTGTCAGTTTTGTGCCTAGTTATTGCACTTTCTGACTGTATATAGTATCATGTTACAGTGATAGAGAGTTACTCTTAAAAAATTATTCTAATTTTCGGGCAAGGCCCATCTTCAGGAATGTAGTTACTGTGCAGACAAAACAGAGATTATGTAAGTGACAAATACAAACGTTTTCAGTGTAGTATGTAGTATGGCTACTTCAGTGTAGTATGGCTACTTCAGTGTAGTATGGCTACTTCAGTGTAGTATGGCTACTTCAGTGTAGTATGGCTACTTAATAACACGTACTGGCTATACACATTAACAGTACACACCGTAGGAATTCATGGCAAGCTAAGCTGTATGCATACTTGCACTGCCTTTGTCTTCTCCTCTGACGGTTTGAGACAAGGAACAACTTGCAATCCGTAACCATGTGCTTTGAGAGTGTTGTGAGATGAGTGTTACAACAGCTGTGTCATGAATAGCTGAAGCCATTGCCAAGGTCAATGAACATCTTCTCAAACACAGAACACGATTGTTCTTGTTGGTTCAAATTCTCTAGATAAGTTGTACGCGAAGTTGCTTAATGGCTACCTCACTCATCCAGACTTTCTCGAAGTATGCTTGGCTCGCAGTGGACCAGCTGATTATATACCAGAGAGGAAGATGTCTATGAACTCTAGTATTGGAAATGATCCGATGAGAAGCAGTCTGGCATCGGAGGTGTGCTACTCTGACCACTCCGGCCAGCAAGGACCACCGTCTCTAGATCCGGCTTCTATGCAGGAGCCTGCTTCGTGTGAGCCAGATGTCGTCAATCGCCAGTTTAGACAGCCCACACACTGCTACAGTCGCAGGCAGGACATGTATGTCACAAACTATGTTTCCAACTCGTCTTCGACGGTGCTCGCTCTTGGTACACTGCCATCATGGCTATTTTTCAACACTGCCACAACATCCTGCTACAAAACCATCGGCGATAAAGTTTGGTACTTCAAGGATCTGTGCAAGCGAGGTGTGATTGTCGATGAAATCAAACGCCATCGGTGAGTGGGGGCAGCTGCCCAATGGAGATTCTGTGTGTGCATGTATATGTGTTGGATGTGAGCTGAACATAGTCACCATACGATGCCTGCCATGTGTAGCTTAGTCATGTGGTAAATTTGAAATTCTCTTTTCTGCCGTTGGCGGCAACAAGTCTCTCTCCCCCCCCCCCCCCCCCCCTGACTGAAGCGATCCCTTTTGCATAATGCAGACCAGTATATCAAGTTCACAGTTCGCATGATGCTTGGTTAGACTAAAGTCTTCTATACCTTGATCCTTGCATGGGGTGGTGTTCCCAGGGCTGCTATTTGTTCCGTTGGGTGACTTGTTGTGAGCCACCCCGAGGGTCTGCAGATGTTGATGTAGGAAGTCAACAAATAGCAAAAATACCATATCTCCTCGACTATAAATCTCATCATTTTAACACTAAAACTCCAGGGGAAAAAATACGAAAAATGGTGTGCGATTTACAATCGAGCATGACTTACTACTGAATTCAATATCAAAACATTATGGCTCAGACCTGAAATTGGGGGTGCGACTTACAATAAAGTGCGACTTATAATCGGGGACATACGGTAGCGATTTCTAAGTCAAGTTGGAGCTCCTCTGCACATACTTCCTCCGGAAACAACAAACTTCATGACTTTTTCACTACTTTTCGCTGCTGTTATTTCGCTCTTTCTCCCTGGTTCTATCAGCCTGGAACACTGACATGACATTTCGGAAGGAAAGCATAATTCATATTCTGGAGAGCCGACAGTCGTCGCAGAGCAACGGTGTCGACGTTGCGAACAAACACAGGCACAAACACAGTAACTCCTTGGAAAGTCATGTAAAAAAAGTCACGAAGTTTTTGTTTCCGGAGGAAGTAGCCACCGTGCAGTATAATGGAGTGGGTAGGCTCATCCTGTCACATGCAGGTGGGATGTTTTTTCTGTACCAGCGGTGGGTCCTCGACTTGGAGAGCCCATACCAGTCACTACCTGTGGATGTGTCACCCTAATGTGAAGGAAAACCTAACCCAAGCAGGTATGAGAACGGGATCCAAGTGGATCGAAAGTCAGCGTTGTCATGACTCTGGGCTGGCTGTGGCATATCACTTAAAATGATCCAGCTCTATTGTACTGTCGTGGACATGGAAATGCGGTCCAATGACTCGGGGCCGGTGCCCACAGTGTGCACAGAACGTTGCGTGCAGTACACGAGTTGATTGTACACGTACTCACGGCTGCATGGCCAGCACCCTGGGCCCGGCCGCTTGACCTCCGACCGGATTTCCATGTCCGCAACAGTACATTGGCTTACGAAGTTACAGGGTTAGATTTGTTCTTAGTTCCTAGCTCATTCAAACTTATTATGTCTGCTTCAACCTGTGTGCACTGCAGGAAACCACTGCCTCTGGCCACGGACTGTTATCTGTTTAGACTTGCCTTCCTTTACCACAGCCTGCAACGAACAAGCACACCGATACTGCCAGGTTACAGGCTCGTCCTGACTCCGTGGGCTTCAACAGTTTACCAGTGGTACAATAGAAATATCCCACACGAGGCATGTCAGCAGGACTCAGATGGCGAGCGAATTGTGCCTGAGTCCAGCATCTCCAGCATTGTCCTGCATCCAGCGCCTGGTGAGGAGTTCAACCTCAAAGTGACCGTGGCCGATGAAGTGTTCAACGACCGGCCCACTACTGTTTCGTTGCAGGTCCGTCGTTGTGTCAGTATGTTAGCCTGTGTGTCAGCATGTCAATGTGTGTATGTGTGTGTATGTGTGTGTGTGTGCGCGCTCACCCGCGCTCGCTGGCATGCGTGTGTGAGTGTGTGTATGTGGGCGTGTACGTGTATGTGTGTGTGTATTTCATGGCCTCTCACTCAGGCTAGAAATAGTTTAACTGCTACATGTACTTGAGTACTGCACGGTGACAGTTCTTGGAAGAGAGACCAGCAAGGAAAGCAATGGTGATGAAGTTTGACGCTTTGCACGCCTTCAATGTATTGCTCAGAGTACTGCCCTGCAATGTGCTGCCTCCTCAATGCACTGCCCCCCCCCCCCAGTACATTGGAGGGCAGTACATTGCGGCTCAATGTACTGCTCCTTCAATAAGCTACACTGCCCCTCAATGCACTGCCCCCCCCCCCCTAATGTACTTTCCACCTCAATTTACTGTCTTCCAATGTACTCCCCCCCCCCCTCAATGTACTGCCCCCCCTCCCCTTCAATGCACTGTCCTCCTCAATGTACTGCCCTCACCCCGCCTCAATGCACTGACCACCCTCCATAAAACTGAATACATCTGTGTATGGTGCATGGCTCAAATTCCGAAAAGGCAATCTTCAAGACGCCCAATTCTGGATTCTCCATCTTTCCCGTTGTAGGTGGCCCAGGAAGAGACACACAGCAGCGTTCTGATGAAAATACGTGGCCATACATTCCAGCCAGAGGAGCCAGCAACCTTTTCGTCCCACCTAAGGTTCAGTCGGATTTCCTTGCTTGGTGCACCGGGCACGAAAGGCATGTTGGTGGTGACAGTTTTGGGTAAGATTTTGGATGGGATCATGCATGAATTCTACAAATAGTTGTGCAAAGAAATTTTCCGGTGTATGATAATTGAGCATTTCAGCATCCTTGAACCAACACTATGCAACCTAGAATACAGAAGACTATGGGTGCTGTAGGTGTTTTGTTCTAGCCCATAATTCACTATTGCAAAAAGAGGTACCTCACTGTAATCAATTATGAATTCCTCTTAGTCGTTTCATCCATCATGGCGAAAGCAAATGCAGTATGACCTGGAATGGCAACCACTCTGATAAACCTGGCCCAGAGCCTGACCACTATAACTACCGTATATTCTCTATTATAAGCACAGGTCTCCATTACTAGCCCGGTCTCTAATACTAGCACACTGTGAGCACCTTTCGAAACATTATAAGCACGGTCTCTAATATTAGCACGGTCTTGGTGGAAATCAATGCGGGATGCATGATATCTCGCATGTATTTCTTCTTGCTCTGTACGGATGTATTGGTTGAAAAAAATATAAGCACGGTCTCCAATATAAGCGCGGTCTCCAATATAAGCACGGGGTAGAGGAGTGTTGAAAAAATATAAGCACGGCGCTTATAATAGAGAATCTACGGTATATTCCATTTGTTACGAATTTATGTTACGACTATGATTTACGCATGTCGTTGCATT